CATTGCATATTGAATTGTAAACATTGGAGATAAAATTCTAAATGTTATAAATTCTTGTAGATAATCCAAGATATCAAAAATTTCATCAGGCTTTAGAGAACCATAATAGCTAAGTCAATATGTCTAAAATAGATACAACTTTTAAGTGTTTATTACTAATATTCGATTATAAAAGCTTCAGTTTTTTTTTAGTGTAAGCCATTATTTGTATGCCTGAGAATAATAAGAGAACTATAGTATGTTTCAATTATCTTGCTCATATAACACATGATAACATAAGGACTTTAAACTGAAATTGTTTATGGAAGTTCATATTTGAATGCTGTGCTGTGATCAGTAAGACATATTTATTCACCTTTTCCAATCCACTCCATAATAACTAGGCATCATTATAAACAAGTTTTGGCTTTAAATGGATTTAGCCTGAGTGTACATATAATAATATAAGCCATTCTTCTGATTGTCTTTTTTCTGAAGATTCAAAACTTAGCTGTATGTAAATTTGGTCCATCTTTGTTGACCCAAAACTAATTTTCTTTCTAACTGAAAAATATTAGAAATGTTAATCATTGTAGAGCAGTGGTCCTCAAACATTTGTTTGCATACTTCCTAAAAGAATTTTGAGAAAAATGTTTATCTCTTCACAGTTGACATCTAAAAATTTTTTATAGTTAGGAGATGCACCTTTCGGCATATTATAAACAATGACATTAATAATAATAGTTTCCTGTTACTTTTAATATACCCATTGGAATCTAATATTGTAGCATGTTTTTAACTTTTTGTCTTCAATGATTTTAGGTTTTCAGAAAAGTTGCCAACATAGTACAGAGAATTCCTGTACACTGTTCACCCACCTTCCTCTAATGGTACATTTCACATAACCATAGTAAAATAATCAGAATTAAAAAATTAATACTGATATACTATTAACAAAACTATAGACTTTATTCTATGTATACGTGTTTTTCCATAATGTTCATTTTCTGGTCCATGATCCACTCTTGAGATTCTTCCTTGCATTTAGTGGTCATGTCTCCTTATTCTCTACTCTGTGACAGTTCTGAGCACCTTGGAAGTGGTCGATTATTTTGTAGAATGCTCCCAATTTAGATTTTCCTGGTATTTTTATTATTAATTTAAGATTATGCATTAAATGGGAGGATACCAAAGAAGTCATTCATCCTTCTCATATCATACTAGGGTGTACATGATGCAGATAGGGCTAATTACTGCTTATGTTAACCTTGATCGTTTGATTAAAGAGGTTTCTCCACTGTACAGTTAGCAATTTTCTGTTGTAATTACTGACTCTCTTGGGAGAGATACTGTAAGGTTATGCAAATTTCCTGTTTCTCCTTAAATGTTCACCGGCTAATTTTAGCACCCACTGGTTGGTCTTGCTTACGACAATTATTACTGTTGTGCATGTCAAATGGTTATTTTCTTTCATTCCTTCTATGTTTATTAATTAATGTATTACTAATTCTTCTGTAGAAAATTGCTTCTCTTCAGTTTATGTATTTACTCATTCAATTATTTATTTTTATCAATGTGGGCTTATATTTATTCTGTTGGTTATAATCTAATACTATCATTCTTTGGTTGCTCAAATTGTTCCAACTTTGGCCATTAGGAGCCACCTCAAACTGGTTCCTGTGTCCTTCGGACATGGCCTCATCTTTTAGTGAGCACTTTCTTACTTTCTGGCACTACAGATATTCTAGGTTCATCTTGTATTTTTCCTGCCCCAGACCTGGAATCAGCCACTTCTCCAAGGAGCCTGGTTCCTTTGATGGGACATATCATAACAATTTGAATTCCATCATAAACTATTTAAAAATAGAAATACACACAAACAAACTCTTTGGTGGTCAAAGATTTACTTTCTTTTTCTCCTTCTAATTCTACACTAGAATTCTATCCTAATGTAATATATTTTTATTCTCAAAAATATTTTACTCATCACCATGTCATATTTGCCTGCAGTAGAATGTGTACATAAATTTGAATTATCTTTAAAATTTTCCCTATGAACATAGATAGGTTCTAAGTGTTATACATTTTCTTCTATATTGAGTTGTCATTTCAATATACTACACAATTGGTCAGAAAAACATAAATGTATTATAACTGTTAATAAATAATTAGTATATGTCAAACTGAAATGTTAAAGGTAATGCATCTTTTAATGAAATGGGTATATCATAGATAAAATTAATGTTAATTTAAAATTATTAGAATGAGTCAGAATTCAGCATGAATTCTGTTCTTTTGTTTTTCTTTTTTCTTTTTTGATAGCTATATGTGCCGAGAAACTCTGCTAGAGATCTCTGGTGCTCACTGTATTTGGTGGGCACTCTTTCCTGAGCACAGCGGGAGACTTCCCAGACCTCCTTGCAGTTAGGATGGACCACGTGACTAGTTCTGGCCACCGAAAGGTGAGTGGAAGTGTAAGTTCAGGACACAGAAACTTAAGAGTTCTCTATTTCTTTTTCCTGCCATGGCTTCCCTGGAGGCCCCACATTCTATAGACAGAAACAGGCATCCTGGATGAGTCACTGCTTGAAAGTGAGCTGCCCTGGAGAGCCAGCGCAAGCACAGCAGGCTTTGCATGACCAGGAGATTAATTTTTGAGTTTTGTTTTGGACCACTGACATTAGAGGGTTTGTTTGCTTCCACAGCATACCCTAACTTCTCCTGACTAATACAGAAACTTTGTTCATATAAATAAGTAGATGGGCATGAAAGGGGCTTGTTATAACAATGTAACTCTATTATTTGAATTCCTTTCCCATTTGTGCCAAAATCACTGATTCCTCATTAAGATTTATCTTTCATTATCTGTCAACTGACAGTTTGATTATGTTTCCTTTAATTTTGCTTCAAGAATTAGAAACACTGGATTTGCAAAAGGATTTGTTACTCAGTCATTAAAGTGATTTACATTGTTAATTTCCGAGGAGTAAAATTAAAAGGCTTTACTAAGACATTTGAAATGACTATTATTTATGCCTGTTACTCTTCCACTTACAGGCACCTTACTTTTCTTGATATACATAGTAAGACTGGGAAATTAATTAATTAAATACTACTAATTTCATTGTACTGCCAATACTATTTTTCCATTAAAAAGCCTTTATCTTAATAAATGCTCTAGTCAGAACACTGGAGTTGCAGATTTAGATCACTGAGTTAATGAGAAATATTCATCATAAAACTTAATTGATAAGGCCAATTCTCATTGTCAAACCCATGAGCCAAATAACGAAATGTTCAGAAAAAAGTCTGATTTCATTTTCCAATTCAGTAGGCATGCTAATACTCACTCTCACTTAGAAATTTAAGATAGTTAAAGCCCAGAGCTTTGCCATGAGCCTGTCATTAGGGTAAAGTAAGATGTCACGTTTTTATCAAAAGCTGCACTATTTGCTTTCACCAGGATTTCGCTCCAGGAATGCCTTTTTGGTAATAGTCAGGGGCTGGCTGAGATAGGCTTACGATGTTAACATGAGATCTGCCTTTGAATAATTACATAACTTCTTTAAGGGTAGTTATCACTCTTGCTGCTCCACTATATAATCCATATTAGCTTAGAATATCCCAATATGGGACTTCTAACTCATCCCTTAATCCTTAACAGAAAAATGTATGAATGAGGCTGTACACTGGGCTTATAATTCCATCATTAAAAGAAGCTTCACTGACATCATTAATTTGAATTGTTTTCTTTCTTTGGTGCCATGAAGGATTTTCCCAAGATTAAGCAGCATAATAAGATTTGGAAAGCCATGTCTCCATTATTATTATTATTATTAGTAGTAGTAGTAGTAGTAGTAGTAGTAGTATTTAAAGGTAGAGACAGGCATTTGTACAAATAGCATGACATCATGACCTCAGGGGTATCCTCATGCAAGTTAACACTAGAAAGAATATATATGAAGGTTAAATATTTTGGAAACTGAGGTCCTTAAAAATACCCTTCTCCTGTGTCCCTTGGAAATATTTGTGCACCTTTAGGGTATATGTCTCAGTTTCAAGGCTGTTAATTTGTTTCAGTAGCCTATGAAAGCTACATAATTAATCAAAGATAGATCTCAAGTTAACATCTATGTCAGGTAGAGATAGGAGACCTATTGGAGGACTCCAAGGTCTGATGGACGTGGAGGCCCTACTATGTAGGAGGAACCTGAACCCATTAATGACTAAATGGAGCAATGTCCTCCTGCAAGCCCATGCTCATGTGGATGAAAAATAAACCTTTGCTGTGTGAAGCTGCCGTGATCTGGGGTTGTTTGCTACAGCATTTAGCCTCTCCTGAGGAACAGAGTATAGCCCACAGTGCTGGATAGGGTCTCACTACTGCAGGGTTGAAGTGGTCTTACAGCCAAGAACTGCAGTGTCCAGGCAGGAAACAGGCAATTCTCTGGGGCTAAGGCAGTACCAAGAAGAGCCAGGATGGGGCCAAACTAAAGAGAATGGGCCGCAGGTGGCACCTGATGCAGACTCATAGCTGATGCCAGCAGAACTCCCAGAGGTGGGGCCAGGCAACCTGGTGGGGCCAGGTAGACACCAGAAAACACGCACAATTATCACCTTCTTCCACCAGCACCACAAGCATACAAGTTTTCGTATCCAACATCATTTTGAGGAAGGAAAGGAAATCCCAAAAGACTGAATGTTTGTCTAAAGAGACCATTTAATCCGCCTTTGGTAGAGAGTAGAGCTTTTCAACAGAGGAAACATTTAAATTGAAAGAAGGCTATTGGAATTGGAAGAGCCCAAGATATTTTCAGCTGGAAAGTACAAGATTTTCCATTACCCAGAGTCATAGAAAATAACAGATTCTTTTTGGAGGGGGGCACATTACTTATGTGTGAAGGAGTTTGTGACCATGATACCTTATTTCTTTTCATACTATAGCCATGAAATCTGGTTCAAGTTAAAAATAGATGTGGGAAAAGTCTCTTAAAGTACACATATATGAATAAAGCAGAATATTTCAGTATTTTTTTATTTCTTTTAATTTCATATGATCTGTCTGTGGGGACAGATTCCCTGGAGCTGTGTTTCAATACTAAATATCCAAGTGTAGAGAATTGACAAGTTGTACAGTTTCTGTCTGCAAGACCACTTTATTAATACTTTGTCAAGTTGTTATGTGTGATGAGTGCACTTCAGTACACCTTGACTGGAAGGATAATTGATCAGCAGTTTTTAAGAAGTCCACGGAAAAGAACAGAACTTTAATTCCACTTGAAAGATTGTTAAATTGGGCTTTTTTTTTTCCCACGTGGTTAGTTCAACCAGTTATTCTTCTGAGTTATAAATAAACAACTGCCACGTAAGATGATATCTTTTCTTAAAAAGAAGTCCCAAAACTTAAAAAAAATTATGGAAGTAGGTCATCCCAATAAGCAAACTGCACAGCAATAGCGAAGAGAGGCTTTGGAAGCTGTAGTAACCGTTTCAGGCCACGAGGACTCCATCCGCAGGGCATGCTCCTCAAATGCTATTTATAATGATGATGGTTTTCACTCCAAAATTTATTCGTACTTTCTCTCAGAGCTCCACCCTGTGACTAGTGGCCACCAGTTCGGAGGCAGCCGGATATAATAATTAAAATGCACACTCTAGAAAGGACCTGAAACTCCCCCTGTGAATTTCTATCATAGGACCTTACTTAATTTTCATAACCACCTGATGTCTTCTACTTACTCATGTCTTTACTGGGTTACTGTCAGTTTTCCTTCACTAGAAATTAAATGCCCTGAAAACAGAAATCTTACTAGCTTGCTCACCCTAGTACATCTGGTTTTTAGAATGGCAGTTGATTCTTCATAGGAATTCAATAAACATTCATGTAATGAATAAACTTTTAAAAAAAGTTAATGAAGGCCGATCAAGTCTGTGCTTTTTGATTCATGGACAGTATCATGCTTTAAATCATTACCAACTGCACTAACTAGTCCCATATAGACAGAAATGGTTCTCAAAAACCATAGACTAAATAGAATACACCAAATAAACTCATTTATAGAGCAAAGGTGCCTAGATTGCTATCGGAAAGCAACCTCTAGTTTGTTTCTAATGAACTGTAATTTAGGTCTTCAAATTTCCCCCCTTTAAATTCAAGTTATATTTTATATCTTTTAGTTGCTAGGAGAATTATATATTATTTTATACCTTTAGCTTTCAATAAAGAGCATGAATTTTAACAGTATTGAGATCTCAGTAATTCTTTAAGCTTATCTACATTTTTAACTATCAAACTTAGTCATGATTTGGTAAGTGAAGGTTTTAGGCCACATTATGTATTTGTTTATGAAAGTGTGCTGCTAACCAAAATCTGTACTATTTAAAGAAATGTAATTTTTCTTCTGTAGTTTGAGAAGTCAGAAATCAATGTTACCTGAAATATTAGTTTAGAGCCCAGAACGTGAGTTTTAACCTTAAATATTAGTTTTCCAAACTTCGCTGTTGAAATGACTGATTTAAAAAGATTGAATTAAAAAACAAACGAGCAAGAAGCCTCTCAGAAGCCTTTTCAGAAGTGCAGAGTTTCAAATTTGCTTCCTTTCTCTTTCTCTCGTAATGGTATGACTGTGGGTAAATGTCTGAATACATACCAGATTATTTAAAAAATTTCCAAAAAATTCTGGGAGAAGCGTATTAACACAAAACCTATTATTCACCTTGATTTGAGAGTTTCAATAGGGAGTTGTTTTTTTTTTAATGGTTCTTGTGTTCTGAAGGTAACCATTATCTATTTCCCCCTTTTAAGAATAGATCACAGTTTAGGGAAGTGAATAAATCAACACTCATCTGATTTGGTTATAACTCAAAACCAGTAATCACTTTAAAAATAATTAAAATAGTGATGCCATTCACATTATAATGGCATCTGGTCTGTAAAGGAAAAGAGAGAGGGCACTCCCCTTTATCATCTTCTTTACCGCTCGTGGCTGCGGCATTCTCTGACCTCATTATTCTGGGTCATTCTTCTCAAGGTCAGATATGAGAATATTCTCTTCTAAATGTACCGTACTGAAGTTAGTGGTAGGATAGTACGGGTTCCTGGGCTCTGTAAGTCTCCTGAAGACGCCACGGTTGTGCTTGTACAAGCAGAAGGAAAGTGTGGCGATCGCCAGAATCACTGTCAGTGTCAGTCCTACAGCAAGAGGTGCGAGGCTGTGACTTGGTCCTGAAAGAAGATGAAAAAAGAGGAAAGTTTCAATGACAATAAGGATAGATACTGTCCCATAATTGCTTTCTACTTGTTTCTAAGAAAATACAAATGGTTCCTCCTATTCCCAATTTACCTTTTCCTGGATGCTCCTTTACCACGTGAATATCTAAAATCAAATACAAAAAAAATTGTGAGATGAGCTTTTTTCCTTCAAGTCAGCAAAATTAAGTCATTACTCATGGTAGTGCTCAGCAAATGATGGCCCATGATCAAACTGGGTCTCCTGTTTTTTTATAAATAATGTTTTATTGGAATTTGGCCACATTCACTTGTTTATGTATCATCCTTTCATGCCACCATGGCAATGTGACACAGACCATGTAGCCCCCAGAGCTTAAAATATTTACTATCTGGCTGTTTACAGGAAAGTGTGCAGATCCCTGACTTAGAGTAATCATTATTAGTGCTCACAAGACATACACAGCCTCTTTTGTTAAACTGGAGAATTTCCATCCAGTGTTAGCTGTGTGCAGTGAAAATATGAATAAAATATAGGAGGTCAGTGTTGTTGAGATCTGATATGGAGCGTGTCCAGCAATGATAACCTCCCTCTTCCATGCAAGGATTTAAAAATAGCACCTTCTCACCTTTGTGACCTCAGGAATCTAGGGAATGAATAATAGCTCCTTCATTCAGAAAGTTTTGAGTTCCTGTTTGAGGATTTTCTATGGGATAAATGTATCTCTTCCAAGTAGACTCTGTTTCAAAATTTGAACTCGGGTATTTTGATCGAGGTAAAGATCCAGAAAAATATGTAGAGAATGACCCAGGAGAAGACCAATAAAGGATTTGTGAGAGAGGAAGCAAGCACCCTGTGCATTACTGACGCCCATTCACTCCTACCGATTTCAAAGAAACATCAACATTGTTACCAATATTAAAAACAATTATTTAAATATTTTAAAAACCCTTGTTTTTGCAGCTTAAAAATAACATTGTATAATTTTATACAATAGTATTAGAAACACAAATTATTGTGTATGTGTGTGAAGATACTTTTTAAAGAAAGACAGCTAAAAGAATATTTAGTCTCAGGATGGGGTCGGTGTGTGTGTGTAGTGGAAGCACATGGAGTTAGAAAATGTGTAGTGTAGTCCTCAGTGTAGCCTCAGTTCGGACAAGTACTTTTCTCATCCGTAAAGTGGGGATATTATATCTTTTCCACTGCCTTGCAAAGTTGCTGTGAAAGATGCGTTGTATGTATTACAGGGAGCTGTAAAGTCCTAATCAGACGTGAGGTGTTTCTGTTTTGTGTTTGGTACTTAAATGCTGGTGATCACTTGGGCACACTGTTTATTATGCTTAGTCATAGTTTCCACACAGAGTTGACATCCACACTACTGGGGCCTCCGACATTGGTGCCCACACCTACCAGGTTTTCCCCTTCATTCCAGTATTTAATCAGACCACCAAGGCCTGATGGTTCTTTTTTCCATTTCTGCCTTTCCTTTTTGTTCCTAGTTCCATCACTGGAATTATAACTGCCTCCCTTGATGCCACCACAGGTGTCTCCAGAGCAATAGGGGCTCCCTGCCTCCTTCAAGAAGCTCAGCTCTTTAGGCTGGTGTGCTCTGTAAATGGATCCGACACTACTGTCCAATTTTATTCCCATCACCACCTAATGTGAGCCCTTTGCTCCAATCTAAGCTCATTCTCATCATTGCCTTTCATTTTGCTGGGGCTTTTCTCCAATGTGCCTTCCCTCCTCCATATTCCCTTTATCTTGTGGGATTCCAAAGCCTTGTCCCCTCTCTGAAGCCTTCCTCAGCAGCTCAAGCCGTAGCAATTCCTCCTTTATAATACTGGCTTCTAGAAACTGTTGTGATTATTATAAACACCTTCCCTCTGTTCATGATTCTTGTTAATCTTAGAAATCTCTGCTATTGTTTGCAACTGACTATTTTCTGGCTTGCATTTCTTAAATTTTTTTTTAATCACCACAAACTGTGTCATTCAAGATGAAGTTAAAGTATGACTTCTTTAACATATGTCTTACAACAGAGAATCACATCTACTTATCTACAACAAAGATACCTAGGCCTAGATTATATTTCTAGAGTCCAAAGATCAACCTTAAAAATTCTGAGTGCAGTTGCTAGAATGACGATTGCTTGTTTACATTTGTTTGGTAAACTGATTTTTTGCACCATTAGGTTAATAGCCGCAGTGATACAAGAAAGTCATAGTCTTTGAGTTGATTCATAATGATTTTAAAAATCAAGTATTTTTCTTCATATCTGAAAGAACTGAAATGTCCTGTGACTTGTTTGATGTAGAATAAGATGATGTCAGAATCTATCTGCACTTCCTGAATACTTGGATATTAGAAGCTTTAAAAGGTAAAGAGTGGGCAACATTAGGGTAGAATCACACAGAAGAATTAGCCTCTGACTTTACCTACCTGCTTCCATTTTACATATAAATCCCTTTTTGTCTTGACATGGGGATAACTGCCACACTCCCTCAGGGATCCTCAGGGCAACGCACAGATGGGCTTTGGCATGGTCCATCTCTGGCTTCCGAATGCCCCAGTTTGACTGGTCTGTGGGAGTTCCATCAAACCACTTTATGGTTTCATCTGTGGAAAAATTTCTGGCTTATTATGAATTATGTGAATATTATCAAACATACTAAGACTGGACTGAACTGTAAAAAGTAGCCCCTAAATTTAATGATACTTATCTGATGCATTCAACTCAATAAGTATAGTCATGAACTCTACATCAAAAGGCAGTTATTAGTAAAGTTGATTTGTGAACAACTCTCTATTTATTTTAGATATATTCTAATTTGTTTTTAGGATATGTTTATTAATGTGACACTTTGAATTTTGAAATATGCTGACAAGCTGAAAGAGCATTTGACAAAATTCAATATCCATTCATGGTGAAAATTTTCACTAAAATGGGTAGTGAGGGAACATACCTCAACATAATAAAGGCCATATATGACAAACCCACAAAGCTGAAGACTTTTCCCCTAAGATCAGGAACAAGACAAGGATGCCCATTCTAATCACTTTTATTCAGCATAGTAGTGGAAGTCTTAGCTGAGGCAATCAGACAAGATAAGGAGATAAAAGGCATCCAGATTGGTAAGGAAGATGTTAAATTGTCACTATTTGCAGATGACATGATACTATATATATAGAAAACCCTAAAGACTCCAACAAGAAAACTATTATAACTAATAACTGGATTCAGCAAAGTTGCATGATACAAAATTAATACATAGAAATTTGTTGCATTCCTATATACTAACAATGAACTGGCAGAGAGAGGAATCAGGAAAACCATTCTAATTACACTCACATCAAAAAGAGTAAAATACCTAGGAATAAACCTAACAGAGGAGGAGAAAGATGCATACTCTGAAAACTATAAGACATTCATAAGAGAAATTAAAGAAGACACAAAAAAATGGAAATATATTCTATGCTCATGGATAGGAAGAATTGATATTGCATAATGGCCATCCTGCCCAAAGTAGTTTACAGATTCAATGCAATCTCTATTAAAATACCAATGGCATTTTTCAGTGAACTAGAGCAAATGATCCTAAAATTCATATGGAACCACAAAAGACCCAAAATAGCCAAAGCAATCCTGAGAAAGAAGAACAAAACTAGGTGTATTATACTTTCTGACTTCCAACTACACTATGAAGCTACAGTAAATAAAACAGTATGGTACTGGTGCAAGAACAGACCCATAGATCAATGGAACAGAATAGAGAGCCCAGAAATAAACCCACATATATATGGGCAATTAATAAATGATAAAGGAGCCATCAATATACAGTGGGGAAAAGATAGTGTCTTCAATAAATGATGTTGAGAAAACTGGAGAGCTACATGCAAGAGAATGACATTGCATTACTGTCTAACTCCATACACAGAAGTAAACTCAGAATGGATTGGAGACCTAAATATAAGACATAAAACCATAAAACTCTTAGAGTAAACCATAGCCAAAAATCTCATGAACATAAACATGGGCAATTTTTTTCTGGACACGTCTCCCCAGGAAAGGGAAACAAAATAAAAAAATGAACAAGTGGGACTCCATCAAACTAAAAATGTACAGCAAAGGACACCATCAGCAGAACAAAAAGGCAACCTACAGTATGGGAGAATATATTTTTAAATGATTTATTCAATAAGAAGTTAATATCTAAAATATATAAAGAGCTCATACACCTCAACACCAAAAAACACCCCCATTAAAAAATGGGCAAAAGATCTGAACAGAAATTTCTTCAAAGAAAAAATACAGATGATCAACAAGTACATGAAAAGATGCTCATATCGCTAATCATGAGGGAAATGCAAATCAAAACCACAATGACATATCACCTCACAGCAGTCAGAATGGCCACCATCCAAAAGACAAGAAATAACAAGTATTGACAAGGATGTGGAAAAAGGAACCCTCCTACACTGTTGATGGGAATGTAAATTCCTGCAGCCACTATGGAAAGGGGTATGGAGATTCCTCAAAAAACTAAAAATAGAAATACCATAGAACCCAGTAACTCCATTTCTAAGAATTTACCTGAAGAAAACAAAACAAAATCTCTGATTCAAAAAGATATGTGCCCTTCCTTGTTTATTGCCACATTATTTAAAATAGCCAAGATATGAAAGCAATCAAAGTGCCCACTGATAGCTGAGTGAGTAAAGAAGATGCAGTACAAATACACAAGGGAATATTATTCAGCCATGAAAAGAAAGAAATCCTTCCATTTGCAACTACATAGATGGACCTGCACAGTATTAAGCTAAGTGAAGTAAGCCAGGCAGAGAAACACAAATACCATATTATTTCACTTCTTTCTGGAATCTAAAAACAAAATAAATAAACAAAATAGAGTAGACTCAGAGACACTGAGAAGTGACTGGTGGTTACCATGGGGGAGGGGTTGGAGTGGGTGAGTGGGAAATGTGGGGGGATAAAAGGGCACAAAAATCTCAATCATAATATAAGTTGGTCACAGTGCTGGAAGTGCAGCATGGAGAATACAGCCTGTGATTCTGTAACATCTTTCTATTTGACAGATAGTAACCATGCTAGAGGGGGTGATGATTTAATAATGCATGTAACTATTGAATTGCTGTGTTGTATACCTGAAACCAATATAATATTGTGTATCAACTATAGTTTAGTAAAAAAAAAGAAATATTCCCTATCATTATAATGAATTTAAAGAAAACATTTGAAGTACGAACATCTGTATCGTTACAAAATGCCTTACTTCCTTAAAAACATTTACAGTGAGTTTCTTTAAAAAGCAAAAAAGCAAAATGGTGTACCAAGGGATAGGGGTAATAGTAGAGTCCATCCATGTATAGGCAATAAAGGGGTGCGCTATCTGAAAAGGATTTAAAACCAACAATAAAACTAATCAAAGTGGGTCAGCTTTTAACTATCACCATGTGCTAGAAATCCTAAACAATGTCAGGGACTGAAATACTACTTACCTGGGTGGACCCACCCTCCCTTGGTACAACACTGTAACAAGTTCTCTATACCAATTAAAATAATTTTCTTTACAAGTACTTTCAATAACCATGAATTACATAAAGAAAAGAATACCATGCTCTCATCTGATCACAAACTCTGTTTTTAGTAGCAAATAGCAATTCTAATAGCACAATGTGTCACTGAAACATTTCCATAATGCTATTGTGCTTCTATAACATTCAGGAACCTGGGGTATTTTCAGGTAAATGTGGTTTTGGTTTCTGTGACTACGTCTGTGAACACAAAGTGCCAGCCAAGAATCTTCACAATGTGAGGCTAAGTATAAAATAAGTTTGTTTTCATTTTTGATATTCTGGGATTATTTCAAAGGACGAGAAGGCATTGAAAAAGGTTAGCAATGTTGTCTTCGGAAGAAATGGTTTTAGAATTAGTGCTATTTTTTGACAGAAAATGTATCCAAGAAGAATTTTTTTTTTTTTGGCGTATGCCATTTTCATCGACCTTTGACCACTGTGTACTTATACCCTCTCCTCTTCTCTACCCAGTCACTTACTGTCACCATCAAACTGAGCATTCAACCAAACCATCTGGACTGAAGAACCAAAAGCTAAAAGCTCTTCTAGGAGAAATGAATTTTCATCTTCATCCTTGATTGTTAAAAGATCAGATCCTGTAAAAGACAAACAAAACGAACAAGTATTTGTCTTTACACATAAATACAATTTTTAAAATATCCCCTTTACCATAGTTTGTAAAGCCCAGGCTTTGAAAAGTGAACATCTCCTTTGTAAATAAGTGAGTTTTGATTAAAAGTTTAAAAGCAATACCACATTTATTAAAATATTGTACTTAAGAAGTTAAAGCATGGACTATTAATTTTAGGAAGCAATAAAACATTCATAATTCAAGTGCATTCAACAGGAATATTTTCTTGGGGAAGTGCAATATTCTGGATACCATCTTAGATTTTTAAATTTTATATAGGACATTGCATTTTGTACATTAGCCATCCCAACAAGCACATTTAATAGTATTTACTTATTCAGTTGCTTTTGTTGTTCCTATAGTCACTAAATATTCAGACAAATGAGGAAAACCACATTGTTTACAGAAATGTCAAGAAGGAAGACACTGAAAGCATGTTACCATCACAAAAGAATTACCTTCCTTTTTGCAAAATTCATGAGCAGCCTCAAAACTCTTACTGTCTAGGACTGTAGAAAAACTGTAGCAATTACTTTTGAATTTTATCCAGGGAATAGATGTTTCTGAGCATAACTCTGGGTATTCAAATGGTCTTATTTCTATGAACAAAAAACAGGTATGATTTCAGGGTTGTGATTGGGTTCATTTGATGACATAAACATTGCATTACATTCTGTGACAGACCAAGATAGATTATATGTATTGAGATTTTCATGATACTCTGAAAGAGTGGGCTTAATGTCCATGATGACAAAACTAGGACTGGTTTATAGCATTTACGCAGAAATCATCTCTGCTTACACATAACAGGATATATTAGTGCAGAGCTTCATAAGCTTAGTTTGGGTGCTGCCCAGGGAAGGGTAGCTGGCTTTCATGTTTATAATTAGTATCCTAAGTGCTGGGAAAACTGGGGGACGTGATTCATAGACATACTGGTAGCTGAATGAAGCTGGCAAAATGTACTTCCAAATGTACAAAATGTTTCATGCTGTGCTGGGTATTACAGATTTAGTAAATCCTTACCTGCTAATCAGCCTATGAAAGAAAAATAATGCATTTAATAAAGTATCATAACATATAATGTAACATAACAAGAAGTAACAATGTAGCATAACAACATACAACTCAAAGCAAACAACACAATATAACGTAATACATAACTGTGGGAAATTTGAGGTGGACTTTACTTCAGAGGACAAGCATGAGAGTCAGACACGTCCACCTTGAGATCCTCGGGGCAGCTGTCAGCATGTTACCTACCCTTCCCACACTCTGCTTTCTTTATCTATAAAATAGTTAACAGCTCTTTCTTACATCCTGAGAAGTTAAATGAGCTAGGGCCTGACACTTCTTAAGTACTCAATAAATGCAGTGTGGTTGAAAAAGAAAGGATACCTTTTATGGTGTTTTAGAAGCAGAATTAGCTTTTTCAGTATATATGGCTACCGTTTACATTTTTATCCTGAATTGTTTTGATCTGAAGTTACATAATGTATATGCTGTTTGACTTACAGTATCAAGTATGTAAGTAAATACATACACTTCTACTAAATTCTCATGTAAAAAGAGACCAGCTAGTGTTAAGGAACTCTCTTTAAGTAGCAATCAAAGGAAAGGGAAATTACATTACACCAATAACAATAAACATTACATCAGAGAGTGAGGAAACTTGACTTCTACTCCTGGTACTGTTGACAGACATCTGTGAGATCTTCAGGAAGCTAACGCTCTGAGTTTGTTTCATCTTTAACATAAAGTTCACCTTAAGTGTAATGAGATATTATTATTATTGTTATCATATAATGTAAATATATATATAAAATATAAATATGACAATATGATGATGGTGACGACTCTAGAGCCCTATTAGTCTTTGACTTAAATGTAAATTCTGTCTGGCATTCAAGGTCCTCTACACATGCTCCTAATCCATGTTTCTAGCCTGCTTTTCCATCTCTCCGTACTGGTACCCTGTGACTACAGGCGGGTCTCAACACCAGCTTTGCCTTACACATGCTCAGTCCTTTCTTTCCATGTCTTGGCACAAGGTTTTCTGCTCAGAATGCCTTGTCCGTTTACATTCCACCCATTCTTCAAGGCCCGTTTCCACAATCATGTCCTTCAAGAAGTCTTTCTGTGTGTCCTCAAGTGGACAGGATGTGTTTTTCTTGCTAACTCCCTCAACGCTTGTTACCTCCCTTACATTGCTCAGTAGCCCTGCCTTGTGTAACAACTATTTATCTGTACACCAGCTACCAGACAAGAGGCTTCTTGAGGGCAGATACTTCTTGCTACTCTTTCTTATAGCATCTCCTGCTTAGCACAGTGCCTTGCACACAATAGGCACGTAATACCTATTTCTTGAGTTGAATAGAACTGAACCTACCAGTAGGTACATGGCAAATGGCTCCTTGCAGAAATGACTCACAGGCTGTGCTACTCCAGCGTCCACTGGTGTCGGCAAAAACACAGTCACCCAGGAAGGACGACTCATCATCTTTCCAAAAAGTGAAGGAGGATTTGGTGCCATCTGACCAGTCAAAATTAAGGCCATTCTGTGAAGGGAATCGAGCCATCATTTCCTTGCCAAGACTGCCGGTGTATGAACAGCCCTCACTTCACAGAGATTTGTATTTCCACATCTGGACATATTTCAGGGGGTCTAGGACAGTTTCTGAATATTGTCTGATAAAAAGGAAATCTTCCACAGCAATATCTTTTTTAGTTTTGTGAAACCTGACTCCCTGCCACCACAATTTCCCAGTAAGTGATCAGAGTGAAGGTAGAACAATATCTTACTTTATACCAAAATTTCAGATTGATCAAAAATTCAAACATAAAATTTAAAACATAAAAGTGCTGAAGAAAATTTGGCTAAAAATTTATACTGTTGGTGTCAGGAATCTTTCTCCAGGTCTGGTACAAAATGTAGAGACCCTAAAGCAACATTGACGACATAGATTAAAACACCTTCTGCAACACTAAGACACAACAAACAACCATGTAATTCCCTTCTCTCACCTGCTCCCCTGGCAAGGATTAAAATTTTGATAATACCCTGTGTTAACAAGAATATGAAAAAATAGACACCATCATACACTGTGGTTGGCATGTAAATACATGCAAACTTTTGAAGGCAATATGGTACTACTTCTTAAAATTTAAAGTATACTTAGCAATTTCACTTCTGGGAATTTTTCCTACTTGCACAAGGATGTTTGTTGTGCACTGTTTGTAACTGTGAAAAAACTGGAAAGAACCCAAATATCCATTTACAGGAGAAAGGTTTAACAAATGTGGTGTATCCTTATGTTCTGCTGTTCCAAAGAATGTGTTAGATTTTTATGTGCTGACATGGAAAGCTGCACAAGATATATTAAATAAAGAAGTAAATTCAAGGACAGCATATATAGTATGGTTTCAATTGTATTTAAAAAACAATATACACAGCCATATATGCATACATAGAAAATTTGTAAATCACACACGAAACTGTTTACAGTGAACTTTGGGGAGTAGAACTAGAGGTCAGGATGCAATAATGGACTTTACTTTTCACTACTTTGAGTGTAAAATACTTTTATTTGTTAAAAAAAGAAAAAAAATCTTACTCTTCCAATTACATGCCGACAGGGGAGGGGGGAATTTAATGCCGTGTATTAAAATTCAAGGGATACAAAAATAATTAATAGCCAAATTTCTAGGAAGGCAGCATGATCCATTTTTCTTGGGGATTCCATAAATGTGACAAATTACCCTAATGCAGGTGATCGTGTATAAGATGTGTTTGAGTGCATGCATGAAGCCATATTCTGGGATATCAACAATGTTCAGAGAACCTTTGAAGGGCATTAATTTCCCTTCAGTCAGGCAGTGGATGTTTACTCTAGAATGGTGTATACCTTTAATTTGTAGTGTAGGCTGTTCATAAGTAGTTATTGTATAAACCAATTACTTAAATGTTACCTTTACTCTTATTTCTGGGAATTACTTTTTCTGTGCTAATTTCAGTGGCCCTATCACTAAGTAGGTAGATGTGACATTTGCTTATGCAAGAGTGTTCAAAGGGACTTAGGACACCTACATCTTCAGTGAAGAGTCCGATCCAGAGGGCATGTCCTAGCCGGCTGAGGATGACGGTGAGGAAGGACTGGTGGTACTGATCTGTGACACTGGCCAGTTCTGCTCCATGCGTCAGGCAGGTTTTTATTGCTGTATACCAAGTCATATTTGCATTAATTATTTTGTAAGTTCTGTTTCCATATTCTAAGGTATTGGGGATCGGATACATATCAGATGTATTTACACTGGGTCCAGAAGTATCTAGAACAAGAACAACAAACATCTTTTTTAGCATCTGGATGAGAAAGGGAGGCAAAGCTTAGCATGGATCCCAGTCACTAGGACCCATGTGGTGGTTAACACCAAAGTTTTTCTTCCCCAAATTGACTTTCAAAATGAGGATGTGACCTGAAAGCTTACTTAGGTGATGTTAAAGAACTAGAACACTTAGGAAATGTAATGAATGAGTTTCTTAAAAAAATATAAACTGAACCATTCCTAGAAGAGATCCCAGTTTTGACCATCCCTTGTCAAACTGACTGCTTTTTGGTGGAACTGTGGGTGGCCTCCTCACACAGGTTTCATTCCAGTAGCTGTACTCGGCCTACCACATGCTGCTCTGGCAGAACTTAATACTGAGAGAATATTGGCATCTATTATGTAGTCATATACTGCATTACTAACATAATTTTTGCATGTGCATATTCTCAAGTATGACACTTGATTACATTTTTCAGACAGTTTGATAGTTGCTATCATGTTTAATGTTTACATGTATAAATTCTAAAAAGTTGAAAAATTACATTAATAAATGCTTAGAAATACATACAGTTCTCATAAACAGTTACTATTGATATGTCACCTGTCAGAGTCAAGATTCATAAATAAACAGGCAAGGTTTTCCCACACATGATAACTGGTCCTTTCTTGTTCCTGAGCGGTTGTGATCACGTGAAAACCAAGCCCGTGTTACCGTACAAGATGTTTCCTCTTTACTATGTGCATCTGCCTTTTTGTTCTTACTATATTATGTACTAGGATAGGCTAAAATTTAGGAAGCCTGAAACACAGAAACAAGGACAGAGTTTCTGACCTGTCTGATCCAGAGCGGCTGGGAATTTTCTCTGTATACTGGTTTTATTTGGGATTGAAAAGGAGCATTGTGAGGTGCGGATAGGTCAGAAAACCTGAGACTCAATTCCAGTCCTGACCCTGAATGGCAAAGAGACTTCAAGGAAATTAGTTGATCTCTCTAAGCCTCAAATTTCTGGTCTGTTCAAGATGTCTTCTTTAGAGGGGTTTGTGCAGAATTCAAAGAGGTATCCATATAGAACACTTAATATATTCCCTGGAGCACAGCAGGCACTAAATAATTGGTGTTTCCTGCTCCCCTCTGCTTGGCGTATTCCACCAAGTAAAAAATGGCGAAGTGGAAATTTGACTTTTACCTAAAGTCCTTACCTCGATATAACAAGAGTATGTAGTGTAAAACCAAAGTGAAATTAGCCTATTTGCCAACTAAATTGTGTTGGACCACACTTTTTTCATATGTTTATTCTTCTCTTTTGTTTATTCTAGAAGTCTGTTTGCCAACCTATGTGCCAAGTGTAAGGTTATTTATACAAAATCAGTAGAACACCAAAGCAGATATTTAAAAATGATCATTGGTAAAAATTAAAGAATCAACTGAAGTTCTATGTATGTACCACTCAAATACCAATTTAACTGTTCCTCCCCCCAACTAAGTTATTCATCTATATTTTCACCTACGTAAAGTTCTGCCTCTATAACTGATTCCATCAAGTTTTCAAAACACAAGTGATTCTGAGCAACATGATTTTGCCACCCATTGCCCTGAAAAAGAAACATCTATTGGAAACCAAGCCCCTAATGAGGGGTCTTGACTTTGCCCTTGTCTCTTCTTTTTTCAGGTATCTTTATTATTTCAGGAAGAAAAGAGACATTAAGCTCTAAGCCCAACATAAACACATATTTATATGGCAAATAAAGAAGAGGAGCAGAATTTGGGTATTCATTATAGGGTTCAAGAATTTATATAGTTAAATAATATTTTTTGGAAATAACAAAACAACTATCATTTATTAAATCCATGCCTAGAACTTGCTAAGTATTGTATATGCATAGAGTCTGTAAGGTAGTAATTATCCCATTTTACAGATGGGAAATCAAAATGCAGAGAAGATAAGAAACTTGACTGACAAGCTATTTACAGAGATGGGGAAGGAACTCAGGTGGAGTGGGAATTCCGGTGCCTATATTCTCAACCACCCCGACTCTACACTATTTCCAAAAGAACATATACATTGTTAGTCCCAAAAATATCAAAGAGAGAAAATGATCAGAGTACATCTCAATAAGAAATCAACATCAGATCTGTAGACTAGAATCACTGTATTTACCTGAGAGGAGTTGAGTTGTGTTACTTATTTTTTTCTAAGCCTCAAGTTTCTCATCTGTATAATGGGGATATTTTGACCTACTTCATAGAATGTGTCTTGAGGATTTTATGGCATAAATGTTTATGAAGCCAGTGCACAGTACCAGGCACATCAGAATGTTCAAGCACATGGCAGATTGATATTATTCCTTTCTGGACAAGACTGTGTTCCTCCCCTAATACTCTTGCTATAATGGATCTGGCATCTTCTTTTAATCACTATAGTTTTAGCCATTATTAATGCTTAAGTGATAACTGCCCACTAGGAAAATGGGCCTCTCTGGAACTGCTTTGAGGATGGGTTGATACTTAGTATCATTAAAGACTTCACACGCATGCAACACCAAGAGATGCATATTCCAAGTAAGCACATACACACTAGGCTGTCCCGAGTTTCACACAGCTTGGGACACTAACTGGCTTCTAGGTGGTGCGGTGCAGGGAAGCCTCACACCTGGCAAAAGCACAAGATAGGAGCTATTGTTGTTTTGCTGTTTTTATTTCTATTACTCAAGGTCACCTACAGCTCATTAGCACTGTTCATCACTCCCCCTGGCTCTTTGTAATGGCATTTCACATCAGAAGTCACTGGGGGCTCTGGTCTACAGACCTAAAACATGCTGCATGACATATTTAGCCACACAGACCACTGTTAAGGCTCAGAGAAAGAAATGTGAGTTGGTTTATTTCCCTGACTCTTTTCCAACATTTTCTTAAGGTCTTTTTTATGTCCTGGACACACACATAATCCCAGAACAAAGCATTAAAGCCATTTAAAATGACCAAAATTAATATATAAACTTGGTCAACATGCAAGTGATGTCTGTAGTTTCTAGAACCCCACCACTAAAAGGCATATTCCTAGGGTAGAGGAGAGCAAATGATTAAATACTTAAAGCTCAAAGAATAAGTGCCTGACACTGTTAACTTTAGAACTATCAGTTATAATATGGAAAACAAATATGGAAAGGAGAGAAGGAATGGAAATGAAAAGAATAAAAAATCAAATATTTCTTACCCTGCATTTTTTCACAAACAAACCCATAACCTTCTTTTCCACAGTCTTCCAAATACCATTTTCCAGTGAAATGAAAATTAGGATTAGTTGACAGCAAGGCACAGAGGGGAATATGTTTTTGAACTTCAGTGGTGTTATGACTTGGAATCTTTAAAAGAATACATAGGTTTGCAAAAAAAATGGTAACATGTAACATTATTATTATATTGGCATTTTTATTAAGGACAACTTTTAAAATTCAAACACCATTATTCCTTTAATTGCATTCAATAAACCTGTTCACAAATCACTTCATAACCTGCAAAATAAATAATTATTGGGATGAGTAAAATAATTACATTAATGGAACACATGAAAGCTATGTGAAATTACATTATTAAAATTAATATATTAATAACAGACTAAGAAAAACATATGCCTACAAAATATGACTAAAAAACTAGTAAATAAGTCTCAAATAAGGTCCCTTGCTAGAATGATTTCTAAAAAATAAATCTTCAAACTTACATTTATTATATCAAATGGAGACCAGTTAGAATATGCTACAGGCTTTCCATTTAGCCACTTTTCATTATCATCATTTTGCAATCCTATCCACACATTAGTGGTCTGGCCAAAAAGATTCATAGTAATGAAAGCTGAAAAATAGGAATACATTATCAAATTTAATACCATGTAAACCATTTGGGTAATCATCAAATTTTGTTTATAGCTATAATTTTATTTAAATGACCGCTACACTTAATTATGCATCAATTGTAGGAATTTGTTACTTTGCCCTTATTAATGTAATGCAGCCTCTTTCACTTTTGCTCCAACTTAAATTCACAGAAATTAGCTGGCTAAGCCTGGGATGTCATAGTCTCATTAACAAAACAATTTCCGGTGTTCATTCAATGTCTTTTTAAACAAAAGAGGATTGATCTGCTACATTTAAACTAAAGTATACAATTTCCTAAATATGAAATAAAAGTGTACAGGTAAATCTAAAGGGATCTAAAAAAGTTATATTATGCAATTATAATGAACTGTACTTCAGATTATTTTAACCATTTTGATATACAGATCATAAATATGTCCTTTCTACTCTACTGATTAGACGAAAGGCTCCAGCCATCAGCAGCTTCTAACCAATGCAGTGTACTAGCTCTTACGGATGTCATGATATAAACCTAAGTAATGTGTCATCACCAGTGCAATCCTTAAAAATAATGACTTGGAATTGTTAGTGTTTGGGAATATCTTAATAAATACTTGCATAAAAATGGTTGTTTTTGCCCAATCAAACCTCTATTTACCTTGCTCCACCTCATTTTCAATGGCCACCAGTGTCCCTCCTTCTTTAACACAAAAGTCTTGAGCAGATGTCCAGTTCTTCCAATCTGTTGGGACTTTGGGGATTTTCACCAGAAGGCACTACAAGAAAATGTCAAAACAAAAGTGTTCACTTTTGTATTTTTCTAAATGAATTAACAATTTCCCAAAGACACTGAGGATCAGCCTTGCAAATTCTTTATAATTTTCATGGGCAAGTATGACTTATTTTTTTCTTTGAGCTGCTCCAAAGGGGCAAAAGTAAAATAAAGATGACTAGTTTTGGGGGGCGATTCAGTGCCTTGCAGTTATTGGCATCTAGGCAGAAACAGAAACAAGGATATATTTTGTCTGCAGGATTATCAGAACAATGTTTTCTGCTCAGTGAAAAATCGTTTTCCTTCTAAAAAAGAAACAGCCTGATTATGAAGTTTATAGTGGCGGATTTAATAAAAAACATTCTGTGGGAGCAATTAATTGCTTAGTTCAATTTAATTTTAAACGCACTTTAAGTGTGAGGGGAATGCCAGGGAATCAAACAATATCAGGTATTTAAATCCTAAGTACTTGGAGTCAGCCCCTGGTCTGTGAGTTCACAAAGAAGGGCCAGGAAAGAAAAGTTGAGCCGGGGGAAGAGAATCAAGGGCAGAAACAAGGAAATTTAGGAAGGAGGAACACGGGAGGTGGCCAGCAATGTCAAATGGAACACAAAAGGTAGGCTGTGGGATTTGACAGTGAGAGTTGATTGTTACTCAGGAGAGAATCTTCTCTGAGGCATGGCAGGGGTTGCCCATTATGGGGTGAGAAATGGAATGTAACTGCGAATCAGGACAGGCAGGGTTGAAGGGTGGCCCTTAACGCTTAGTGAAATTTAAGCCTGTTACTAGGGCCACATAGAGTCAGGGGAAAGGGAGAGAGGAGAAAGGCGATCGTGGATCGGAGAAGTCAGAAGGGACTTTAGGCAAGAAATATTCCATTTGGAATAGTCTCTCATCAATGAACATAGACAACCCTGATCACTGATAGGTTAGACCTTGAAATCTTGCTGCTGAGAAAATCCCAGCTACAAGATAATTCTAGGCTAGTGGGGAAGCCTCCACTGGAGAGACCATCCCTCCACCCTCCTCTGGAATGACATCCTTCCCCATCTTTGTTTGGTTTCCAAATTTCAGTCCTCCATCTCTTCCCAACCAGCATAAACTCCTTAAAAAACAGACAAAGTGTTTCTCTTCTTTGAACATCACAACAAAGAAAGTCCCCAATATTTATGGAACAAAATAAATAAGAGCCAATAGACCCTGAAATGGTTGTCAAATGACATTCTCAGGAGTTCAAGATTTAGTCTAGTGGTTCCCAAACAGGGACATTTTGCCCCTCAGGGGATATTTTGACAATGTCTGGAGACACTTTTGATTGTTACAGCTTGGGGAGGGAGGCTGTTATTGGCATCTGCTGTGTGGAGACCAGGGATGCTGCTACACCTTCTATAATGCACAGGTCAGTCCCTCACCACAAAGAATCACCCACAAAATGTCATTAGTGCCCAGGTAATTCTTTTCCGAACTCAGTCCTGATATGTCACTCTTTGGTTTAAACCCTTCAGGGATTTTCCACTGTTCTTAGGATAAAAACCAGAAGCTCTGAACTAGCCTGGCGTTGAGTTGCCAACTAGGAGAGGAAGTACATTTTCAATACTTCTGATTCTCTTTACCTTGTTTGCCTCACAAAGAAACAGCATTGACTTTAAAGGATTTAAATTTTATAACAACTATCCTTTTATCTCTTTCTTTTCATTTTGTCTCTTTTCTCTAATTACAAATTCCAAAGAGTGGCGCATGCTAATTATTAGGAAGTCTTATCATTTAATGTGAATTTACCTGGTGTTCAGATAGTCACACTAATGAACCATTCATAAATGCCAATGAACTCATTGGTTCAGTTAGCTCAATACATCTTTCCAGAAAACACACACAGCCCTTCCTAACCCCTGCTCTCACCCATTCCCCCTTTGCCTTGGCCAAGATTTATTAGCTTGACTATGGAGTGCAGCCTCCCATTACCACAACTTCACTGTTTCTAAAAATATGACATATTTATTTACCGACACACTTCAAAATGGCATCATTAGTAATGAAAGCAAAGCACAAAGATGAAGTAAGAACCCTTGATTTTAAATTGTTTATTTACTTACTAATTTGCAAAATATGATCAAGTTTAATGCACCTCTGTTTATTACTTTGAATTAAGGATATCCTATGAAACAAGCTTTAAAATGTGAAATTCTTTTTTGTCTTAAAGTCATTTCAAGCTCAAAATTTGAAAGTGGAATTCATAATCTTTCTCCTAAGTTCAGTCCTTTTCCAGTGTTCTTACTGGCATTGAACAGCATGCATTTATATAAGACTCCCTGGAACCTGGAAGCCTCCTAACCTTCCACTCCATCACCCCTTCAGGCCTGCCACTTGGACACCCCATTTCTCAGAGTCTCTCACCACTGCCACCATCATCTTAGCCCAAACTATTAATCTCTTGCCTGGGTTACTGCAGCAGCTTCCTAGTTGCTCTCACCTTCCTCGCACTTGCCTTCCTCCAATCTATCTCTGGCACTGCAGCCTGAAGGGTTCTTTTCAAAACTCACTCCTGCTACGCTTCTCTGTAATTAAAACCCTTCAGAGGTTTCCCATTGCTTTTAGGATAAAAACCAGAAACTCTAACACAATATCACCCTTGCCTACTTCTTTCCTCTTATCTCCCACAATCTATGCTTCCTTTAGTTTCCTCAGTATGTCACATTTCCCCTCACCACAGGACCTTTTCACATGTTGCACCTACTTTTAATGCTTCCTGTCTTTCTAACCACCTCAGCTAGGTCCTCTTGTTATATACTTTCATAACGCTGTGTAACTCTATTTCGTCACAGGTATCACAGTTGTAGATTATAATTATTTTCCTCATTGATTTAATGTTCCCCCTCTAGTCTGTAAGCTTCGAAAGAGAAGGTATTGTGTTTGTTTTTCCTCACCTTTGAATTAGCAATATCCAATTAATAGCAACATAGTTAAATGAACTAATGAATAAATTGTAAAAAGGGGAGAGGGGGTTTTTAAGGAGTAAAGCATAAACACCTATATGAGAGAAGGACTTCTGATGGCAGCTATGGAAGAGGATTCAAACACCCTTGTGTGCTCAGAGGGTTTTTTAAAATCTTTATTGATAGCTAACAGCAAGATTAATGGGTTGCAACTCTGATCAAATATTTAGAATCACCAGGTGAGTTTTTAAAAAAATATCAAAAACTATGTCATGCATGAAATCAAAATTGCTAATCCCAAACTAGATGGTGCAGAGCAATCATTTGCTCTCAATCCAGGTCCTCGAATAAAAATGTGTAAGAGCACAAAAGTTAATCTAATACACACACACACACACACACACACACACTTAGAATTTCTACCTCCTACAGCTCAGCTGTGACCCGTAGTTGAGGTGACTCATTCTTCCTGGGGGAATCCCTGGTCAAACCTCTTTTACCTCATCAAACAGAGAGAAAATCACTTATGAGATGTTAGAAAAGATGCTTAACTTCTGGTATCTCAGTTCTGAAACTCTTACAGGTGGATAATTCATCCACCAACTAGGATTTCTTTCTTAGAAATAAGCAATGAAAATTAGTCCTAGGAAATTGACAAACAACAAACAAAGTTTAATGGTACATAATATATTGACACTCATTCAGAACTGTGAAGTTAGTAATGCCTGTCATTGCTCTCTCCCAATTTTCCTTCTGTAGCCTTCTGCTGTTGTTAGTTCGGGCAGCCATCCCCACTAAGCTCTCTGTTCCTCGCAACCATCAATCTTCCTATGACCAGCTTTTCTGATGATCTGATAAACCTCCTTACTCCAGGGTGTAGGTGACAGATGAGGCAATCTCAGAAATATTTCCTTTTTTTTAAAAGAATATTTCCCTTTAGGGAAGGCATTCAAGCAAAGAAGGAACTCCACTGTTGGGGTTTTGGCCATTTATATACAGGGCAAGTCACAGTGGTGGGTGGGGGCACACTTGGGGACTCTGAAACCTCAGTCTCTAAAAGGTCACCTTTCTGTAAAGCCTGCTGTGACAGTATCCTTAATAATGAAATCCTCTGAATGATTCAAAGACTAAGTTGTGTGACTGTTGCATTGCTGGGCAAATATTGGCTGCACATTAGACTAAATGAGGGAGCTTTAAAAAAAAAGATGCCATATGCCATGCAGATCAATTAAATCAGAATCTTTTGGATGTTACCTGCACCTTGATATTTAAAAAAATGTCTTCTGGTAATTCTAAATATTTGATCAAAGTTGTGACCCATTAATCTAGCTGTTAGTTATCAATAAAGATTTAAGACAAAAAAAACTCTCTAAGCTACACAAAGGTAGTTTGAATCCTGTTCCATAGCTGGTATCAGAAAGCCCTTCTCTTATGTGTGTGTTTGTTTTCACTCATGCCCCTTAATATGCCTTTCAAAGGAAGGATTAGTCTGCTTTTTTGTCTGGTCTCCTCCGCCATCCCTGCTGCCATGCACGCGTGTACACATATCCCTTTGTTAACACAGGAGGGAACATGGGATACAGCTAAACTGTGTGGATAAAAAAGACTGGAGGGAAAGAAAATAGCCAGGGGCTTAACCAAAAACAACCAATGTGGGTTTCTAAGAAGTATTTCTCTAGTGCCAAAGATTTGACTTGTCACTACTTTCCTTAAAATACTCTCTTTTCTATATAGGAGAAATCATGATTAGTAACTAGTACAGTTGTGTTCCTGTGTTGGGGTTGCTCACTCACTGCATCAAAAATGTGATCTTGAGACAAGATAGGCATTCCTTTGTAGCTGTGCCCTACAGAGCATAGAACAAGGATGCACTTGTTCTAGTAGTTGTGCTTCAGAGGACATTATCAATAAAGTGAAAAGACAACCTACAGAATGGGAAAAAGTACTTGCAAAACATATCTGATAAGGGATTAATACCTAGAATTTATAGGTACTATGTATAGAGCTCCCAGAACTCAACAACAAGACAGATAACCCAAATAAAAACAGGCAAAGGACTTAGATATTTTTCCAAAGGCCATATACAAATGGCCAATAAATACATGAAAAGATCACTAGCATTAGGGAAATGCAAAAAAAAAAAAATGACAGTGAGATAACACTAGCCATTCACTAACATAGCAATTCCACACCTAAGTGTATACCCAAAAGGTAAACAGGGACTCCAACAGTTACTTGAACACCAATGTTCATTGCAGATTTATTCACAATAGCCAAAAAGTGGAAACATCCTTAGTCCATCAAAAGATGAAGGGATAAATGAAATGCACCATGGAATATTATTCAGTCATAAAAAGGAATGAAGTTCTGGGACATGTTACAACATGGATGAACCTTGAAAACATTATGCTAAATGAAAGGACAAATATATGAGTTCATGTATGTGACATATATCTAGAATAGGCAACTCACAGAGATGGAAAATAGATTAGAGTTTACCATGGGCTAGAAAGGATATGGGAAATTGGGAGTTACTGTTAAGAGTTACAGAATTTCTGTTTGGCATGATGATAAGTTTTGGAAATAGAGGTGATGTTTGAACAACATTGTGAATGTAAGTAAAGCCACAGAACTGTACACTTAAAAATGGTTAACCTGGCATCTTTTATGTAATACATATTTTACCATATGTGTATAGTTACATAATAAAATAGCTTTAAGAACTTGTCAAAAGTTTAATTAAAAAACAGTAATACTTAGTGTCTTATTTAATATTTGCTATGTTCCTCACATTAAAATGTATAAATAATTTACAACAGGAAGATTTTTTTTAGTTTGAGGAAACAAGAAGCAGACAGAAAGTATCAACTATTAAGAATAGCACATCTCTATACTACTTAAAGGTTCAGAGAACCACTATATTATTTGAGAAAATATCTCAGTGCCACCAGGCTGATTACCTGATGGAGCTAAGCTAGTGTGGTAATTCTTAAGTTCATATATGAAATGGCAGCGATAAGAAAGGAACAAAACTACCAGAATCAGGGTCAGGAAACCTGAGGTTGATTCCCAGCCTGACACTTATTTGTCATTAAGTTTCAGAAAAACTTACACTTTTATTAGACTGAATCTTCTTAAATGAAAAATGGAATAATGATTCTGTGTACTTAAAAAAATCAATATTAAGAAATATATGAAATCATCTAGGAAAAGCAGCCACAAGGTAGAAGCAACCAAATGTCTATCGATGGATGGGAGGAAAAACAAAATGTGGTGTAGACACAAATGGACTATTATTCAGTCTTGAAAAAGAAGGAAACCCTGACACATGTTACAACATGGATGAACCTTGAAGACATTATGCTAAGTGACATAAACCAGTCACAAAAGGACAAATATTGCAGGATTCCACTTACATGCAGTATCTGAAGTAGTCAAATTAATAGAGACACAAAGCAGAATGGTGATTGTCAAGGGCTGGAAATGAGCTGTTTCTTAAAGGGTTTAGAGTTTCAGTTTTACAAGATGAAAAATGTCTACAGATTCATTGCACAAAATGTGAATATACTTAACACTACTGCACTATACACTTAAAAATGCTTAATATGATAAATTCCATATTATGTGAATTTTGCCACAATTAAAAAAATCAGTGCTGAATATAAAGTGTGTGCTCAGTAAATAAGTGTAAAATCCAAGTGGCCCTCTTTCACAAATTAACAATGAGAGAAAGATCACAAAGGAGAGAATGTCCTGCCACTATAACTGATCATGTAGACTGAAAATTGGCTGTACATGATTGAAGAGCAATTCTATATTAGTGTATGAAATTATGTCACAGTTGGGTTTTTAAATGATTGAAGATTTAAACTTTTATAGTTTGGGATGCATTTTAATTACTTCCACCTAAGGCCTAGAAAGTTACTTTAATATAAAATGTAAGAAGTGAAGGGGAAGTCCAAGTCTTAACTGGAGGCAGTATCAGAAATAATAATCTGGTTTACAATATTCTCACTGGCAATTTCCAGAAGAAATTCAATTCTGTATGAAAGCACCAGATTTATGACACTCAAGACACTCTGACCAAGCTAGCAGAGCTCCATGCCAGCTCCAGGCAGGGAAGACACAGAAGTAGGAGATAAAGTCTGGGCCCCTGGAGTTGACAGTTCACTGTGGAGCAAAGCCCAGACACACACACATGTGTTCACACACACACAGCAAGGCATTACACCCCAGAAAGCAGTCATGCAGCACAGTGAATGACTGTCTGTAGCAAAAACTGAGTATACAAATGAAGGGTTGTATCAGGGCTGTTTCTGGCAAACACTCTTCATTCCAATTAGTTTGTCCCTAAATTAAAAACTTCTCAAGTCCCTTGAAAGTTGTGACCAAAAAATTCTAGATCTAATGGACAACTCAGAGTTTTTCAAAGTCACACCCACCTTTTGATTACTTTCTAAAATTAACATCTACAAGAGAAACAAAAGGCAACTTTTTCAAAACAGGTTTACCTTGTAGTTAAAATACAGCCATCCTCTGGGACATGTTCCATGTTTTGGTGTCTCTTTCTCTTTCTCTATGACCCAAAACTTCTGGCGCTTGCAGATGCTGGGCATAGAAACTAGACAGTCTTCACTTGCCCAGAGCCCTGGAGGGGAAAAATGGGTTAGAAATGACCACAGTCGTGACTCACTGTAGATATTCTCTATTGATCACTATTTTTATGACTGCTGTGGTTTATCATAATTTGTCTTTTAAATTAGAAATTGAACTAGATTTAACTACTAGTCATCGAGTTCTCTAGTGACAAGAGTTAACAGGGCAAGGTGCCAAATTGGTAATTCTAATTCAATTAGAATTAGTAATGTAGAAATTTTGCAAATGCAAATGCAAAAAAAACCCCAAAAGACAACGAACTAAACAAATATTGCAACAAATCCAATAATGATTAAGTTTCTAAGAATATGTGACTTTGTTGGCAGATGAATACTTTGTAGAGGTTTTTTTTGTAAAGTATATTTTTGTTTAAAAACATTCAACTTCAGTGTAAAGAGATAAAAAAGATTCTAAAAGAGTAGATGATCACTTCTACTTTGGAACTCTTTAGAAAATGTAATTATTTAGAAAAATTAACTCCCGAACTTGTAAGAAAGAAGCAATTCTCAACACTGACCCTTAAACAAAGCAGGCACACATATAGATACACCCTCAGGAAGATATATCCCAAAGTCCTTAGCCTCCTGGATAATGTTTTTTTTAATTTAGAAAAGCTGTATTGTCAGAGTAAAGGTTATAGAATGCATTTCATTAGCATTCAAACTATAAACTCCAGAATAGGGCAAGGATATCTGTAAATTGCAAGGGCAGATTCAGGTTTGCTAGTGTGAGGGACAAGAGCCAAAAAGAGGGTGGCATTTTGCAGGAGAGGTTGGAGTACTATTTTCAATGCAGATTAGCTGCTATTCTTCCAGAATCACACAGCAGTCTTTCTGTAGGCTGTTGTGACACCTGCTGGCAAAAGCAAGCTGATTAATAACATGGTTTCTCCTTCCTAACTTTCTCTGTAGACGCCCTTACATCAAAGATTGCTTTCTATGTTTATCCCTGTCCTGACTTGGGGCACAGGTCTCTTATGAATCATTAAGAGTCAGAAACATCATTACCTTTTATTGGATAGAATGAGTGGACAATCAACCCGAACAACACTGTACCGATGAATAGAATTCAAAAAAACCTTGCAAACGGTTTGTGTTCTAAGGCAAGCAGCAATTAATGCTGGGTATGTTATAAAAAGGAATACTGAATTCAATGCAAATTTTCGTTAAGTGGGAAAATACAAGTAAATTTCACAGAGGTTTATGTTCTGGCCAGTTATAAACTGGATACTAGAAAAAAATTTTAAATGGATCTATTTTGAAATTTCATTGAGAATAGTATTTGTCAGGCATATTTTTTGAACAGTTTCAATGGGCTATTTTTGGTGCTGTTTTGGTTCATGAGGAAGGACTTAGCTGGATGTAAATTATTTTCAAGAACAATGAATGCATGGAATAATCTGGAAGAATGGCCATCCTGAAGCCTTAAGACTGATGAAACTGAACACATTCAATTGAAAAGCAAAATAACCAAACATAACCTTCTCACTGAACTAATGCAGTAAAGAGGAGACTTCAAGCCTTCTGAAAATGATTAGTTGAATTATAAACCCAAAAGTGGTTGAATAAAAAAACCTGTTATGGATGAAATGAAGCCACATCTCTGGCTCTGATTATCCATGCGTCCTTCTATTCCTTTGTCCCAGTTCTGATATGTTACTGGTGCTCCATCTCTCCAGCTGTAGGGACATTAACGATTTTAAGGTCTTCTTTCATTCTGCATATTCAATCTCCAACACTATTCTTGGAGTTTTGGAGTATGTACTGAAGGCACCATATTAAATTTAAAAAAATATTCATGTCTTTGTTTAGGGAAATGAAAATTTATAAGTCAAAGATAAGTTTTGATGGCTTTGCAACAGATTGATCGCTAAGATCTAGTTCAATCATTCTGCAAATAAAATCTGTCAAACAAAATTAAATGCAAATTAATCTAGGTCCATACCGAAATTCATTCGCTCTTTCTTCTCGAAGTCCAATCCACCAATTTGCACCATACTTTGAGAGCTATTTAAAAAAAGGGAAAATGTCAGCATTTATTCTACTTGTTTTTCCTTTTCACTATTAAGATTAATGGGGTTGCTGTTAATAGCTTTCTATTCTTCAGTATTTTACCCAATTATCTAAAGGAGAGTGCACTAAAGCCTAGCACCCTGAGAAAACCTGAAACTTCATTATGCTGAAACATTCCCTCCTCATTATGAAGGAGGTTTGGAATCAAATTATTGAAAATCTTTCTTACAACTTTCCCTATGCATTTAAAAGTAAATTTTCTAACTTTCATAATAGGGATTTAAAAGGTAATATGGTAAAATAAACTAGGATGTGGATCTCTTTTTTGACTAAAAACTTAGTGGTTTATTCTTTCAGTGATTTATAGAAGCTCATTACATATATCACACTATCTGAGAAATAATTCATGGCTCAAAGACATCAGTGGTAAAAAGATTTTGAATTTTGGGCATTAGTCTGATGTTAAGCTTTTAAACTATTATCACCCTCTCCCTACAGACAATATAGGACAAAGGAATACTACAGAATTCCCAGTGTTTGACAACTAGAAAATTATTCATGTATTTTATTAATTTTACACCATTATTTATCACACAGAACTTAGTACAGTAAATTATAAAACTGCAGCACCACGTGTGCACACGCACATGGACACACACATTAGAGAAGATGCAATACTGGACTTAGGAAATTCTCCAACTATAAAAGAGGAAGAGGCAGTAAGGATTTTTCTAGGACCTTTAAATCAATATACTTTGTGTGTGATCTGGGTGTGTAAGAGGTGTGTAAAATGCAGCTTAATTTTTTAAACTCAAAATGTTCATTTGGAAGGCATTTATATTTAAATTTGCATTCCATTTCTTCTATAAGACTTCAGAATACATTTTAAGATATATATATATATATATTTTCATATAAATTTCAGGTCATCGTACAACAGAACCTAATAGCTCTCTAGAATTCTAATTTATAAACAGATATTTTTTACTCCATCAACAGTGTGGCTGTCTGCCATATCAGCAGTTTGAGAATAATGCAAGACGGAGCAACTGTAATTTGGGATCCCTGAGGTGTTGTTTCATGGACGTGTTCTTACATGCTGAATTTAGATTCCCATTGTCAGACTTTGGAATGGGTCCACTGAGACTGGCTGGGAACTCGGTGGGAGAACCACAACAATTCCATTCAATCTAAAGAGGTCTCGTGTGCAACAACAGAGGAAAGCATGGCCTGATTGTTCACTGCCCCAATTAAGGACCTCTAAAGAAAAATTATAACTACTGCATCTTAAGTGGCATATTTATTACCACCTCAATTATAGCATAGTAATCCTCCACATGGCACATCACAACCTGGTGTGATATGGGACAGAACTTCATAGGATGAGCTAGAAGATATTCAGAGTGAAAAATTCAATGTGCAAAATGCATGCTTTCAGCATTCTCACAGACTCCAAGAAGGGATCACCGGTTACCAAAGTGAAGAGGTCGGGGAGGGAGGGAGAGGGGGATTAAAGGGCATTATAATTAGCACACGCAAAATAGGTAGGTCACAGGGAAGGCAACAAGGAGAAGACAAGTAATGACTCTAGAGCATCTTACTACGCTGATGGACAGTGACTGCAATGGAGTGTGTCTGGGAACTTGATAATATGGGTAAATGTTGAAACCACAATGTTGCTCATGTGAAACATTCATAAGATTGTACATCAATGATACCTTAGTTTAAAAAAAAATGGATGCTTTCAAGTTTAGCTTAGGTATAAAACCACAACAGCAGAAGACTTACTAATATTCTTTTGTATAAAGAAATGTGATATGACTGCGGATTTCATAATATCAACTATGTTTTGGTACAAACAGCCCTTATAGATAGCATCATATGGGACCAACACTTACCAAAAACAAATAAAGCACAGCAACAGCCAATCTGTTCATCTAAGTAATGAAAGGAAGAACATCCTGCCATTTCAAACGTTTCCATCAAAAATAGCAAAACCAAGTTATTCTAAGGGTTTTAAATCATTGTATTTTGGAAGATGAGTAACAGAGTTGATATATTTTTGTTAGAAGTATTTAGAAATGAAACTTTAAAAATAAGGGCAAATTTGCAATTTCTAAATGCAAACGTTGCCCAACACCATAAAAATGTTAGCTGAATAGACTAACTGGCTAGTAGTTAAAATTAGACAACTCCCGAAGTGCTTGCAGCTTTTTTCTTTTTTGGCACTAACCAACAACATAGCTCAAAAAAACTAATTTTCAACAATTCAGCCTCATCATACCTTGTGGTATTCTGTTATTCAAAGAGAAAACACCGATTCATCATTTTTCCAAGATGGAAACATTTTGTTTCCAAGAAGTTCTGCTTCAAATTTTAAAAACTGTATCCAGCTTTCTTTTTCAATAGTTTTTTTCTCTTTTCCAATTAAAGGTTATTTTTGTTCTTCACATTTCTAAGTTACTGCTCTTCATAGGGGAACTACACAACACGTGTAATTTAAAAATATTTGCTTCCTTATTTGGGTCCATCCTGCACTTACAGGCCGGAAGTGCCTCAGAGGTGAGCGGCATGACCTCTGCACATTCAGCTTCTCGTCCTCAAATAAAGTAACTTCTAGCCTGACCCTTTCCGCTAGGACATGCCTAGATATGGGATTTCTTATTTAAGAAATGTAAATAGTCACAATTTACCAACAAAAAGTGCCTAACAGCCAAAAATTATACAAAAATAAGAATTGCTTTGGAAATCTATGACTTTCTCCTTTTTAAACTGATACCCTTTCCTCTTGGCCCCCTTCAGCCCTTTCCCAGTCTCCACATTCTATGCCATCCAGGCAGTTTCTTTTGTAGCACAGTCTGGTATTAGATGAGTCAGCCACGCACCCATAATGCTGCCAGGACTTTCTGTATTAACATGGCCCAGGCTGGTTGACAATTTTGCCATGTAAGACATCGCAGGGTTTGTCTGGTTTGAGATCACACCTAGGTCTAGTCCTCGATTAGACCGTAGCACTGGCTGCAGCCCTAGACTGCTAAACCCATGGGTTGCACCACTCCCTTCTACGGGAGGTAGTGACCCCGTGATCCCCCCTGGCCTCCCAACCACCAAAGGCTGGGAGAGTGAATTAAGGGGAAGGTGAAGCGGAAAGACCCGAGAGCTGAGCTCTGCTCGAAGATCAAAGAAGCCCGTCATTCATGTCTGGCCATCTTTTGGGGAAGGAGTCTAGCATTTTAGTACAATGAAGGCGTTGTGCCCCTCTGTATTCCTGATACTGCTCTTCTGCTCCAGCAAAGGGGTTTCAAATGACCTTGTAAGCAGATGGCCCGGGTTCATTTCCAAATTCTGCCACTTAGCTACTGTGTCACCAAGTTATTTTACCTCTTTGGAATCACAGCTTCCTTATCTTTCAAATGTGCTAATAATAGACTTCCCACAGGGACGTTTTTGGAAATTTCAATTCCATTAAATGCTAGTACTTAGTACAGTGCCTGACACTGTTCAGGTAAGTATTGGCCAAATGCCAGCTTCTTTTGGCTCATGCACTTTGCCATGCCGGCGGATTGGTTTTCAGACATTCACCCGATGTCTTGTTATTGCCACGTGGGTAGAGGATTCTGCTATTTAGTATTCCTGACACCAGGACATCTAATTTGTTGGTACTAACCATTATGGTTTTAGCTTGAGTGCTCCATTTGTAGGAGAGGCAGGGGGCTAAAATACGTTCTCAAACCAACAGTGGGGAGCACCGGTTGGTCTGCCACTGAGTCTCGGTAAGACCCTGGTGTTATCATCTTAACCCCCTGTTTCTCAGCTTTTCCCTAAAACCCAGTAGTAGTCCTGACCTACCTGCACCTCACAGGCTGCATGTGCATCAGACAGGGTCACAGAAATGGGAAAGCCCAATGAGCTGTGAGGGAAGACAAGTCTTCTACAAGCCACAGATGCTTTAATACAGAGCTTCATTTTCACAAACAACTTACAAACATATGAAAAAGTGAAGGAGTGAGAAAATCCCTGGAGATCATGAAATCATGTTAAATTATCGGAAAAGAAACAAGGCTTTTTCTTACCTTCAAAGATTTCCTAGGGAAAATTGGGGGTGAAATTTTCCTCCCATAGGGCTCCCTTGGTAATTTGCACATACTGCTCTCTTTATACTGACTACGCCTATTTCCAGCTTTTTAAAAATAGAGACCATCTCATTTTTGTGTCTGGGACTTTCTTTGTCTATGACAAATATCACAGTGCCTGACTCATAGCTAATGCTTAATAAATACTTGTTGAAGAAACACATTGCGAATGAACACTGTGCCCTGGCAGTCCGCTTCATTATTTAACGGCGTTTGCCTGCTCCATTCTAATTAGCCCAGCTCCTAAAAGGAGTGTCGTCTTTCTCTATCTTAAGTTGACATCGAAAACCATTCTTTACCATTTTCTGTATATTGGATCTTTACCAACTTAAAAATATTGTGTTCTTATAAGTAAAATTAAAAACTTTAAAACAGCCATGCACTCCACACCCGCCCACACACACACACACACACACACACACACACACCTGGTAATCTTTGTCCTTCATTTGTGCTTTATTTTCCTCTATGGCCATTTATGCATTTATATTTTTCTAAAATATTATGTAATGCTATTTACTTATGTTAACTATGGTCTTTCTTCCCAGACCAGACTGTAAGCTCCACCAGGGCAGGAATTTTGGTCTGTTTTAGTCGCTGGGAGAGCCCCAGTCCCTCAAAGAGTAGACTCTGAATAAAATAGGTGTTGAATGGTTGCATGAACCTCACAAAAACAATAAAACTCTACTTATTCACCATTATTGCTAGTAAAAAAGGAAGAGGAGTGAAATGACTGACCAACATCAGAAACCTGTATTTCCATTATTTTCTCTCCGTCTTTGTAACAGCAAGAAAAACAATTCTCAAAAAATCTATGGCTTTTAATGAAACTTAAATGTCTGAAGCAAAAGAAAAAAATCCCCCCATGGACAGAAGGAGCTAAGCTCTGAATTTCTCTTGGTCAATTATGTTCAAGTACCGCTTTTATTTTGCTGTGGATGAATTCTTGCTCATGTGCAGAATGAATTGTGAGAATATCCCCACGCAGCCAGCCACAGACAAACTCAAAGGAGGACCATTCTGCAGCGTAGGTATGAAAAAGGTACTCTGCATCCTGATAGAAGAGCCAGGGTGCATCTGGAAGAAAAATGAACAATGCAAATGGTGCAAAAGTCATTGACTGATAAAATGCAGAGTTAAATAGGGTATGCTATGACTGACCCCAGATTTTTAATTTGGTCACTCAGTATTTAAAATAATGTGTGTGTGTGTGTGTGTGTGTGTGTGCATACATAAATAAGTACATTTACACATAAATAAATTAATATATAATTTGCTTTTTTCCCTTGGTCTGTCTCATTTAAGAAGTTCATTTGTATTCTAAGGTCTGGGATAGATGCATATCTTAAACTCATGTGTCATAAAAGTGGAGTTATGCTATGATATTAGTCTTTAATCATCTTTGATAGTTATTAATTGGATTATTTGTTAATTATTCATTTGTTAGCTTGAATTGACCTAAAGAAAGAGAGGCTCGAATGGAGGACAGTAATAATATAGCAATAATATAATAGCGCATCGTTTGAAACTTAAGAACTGCCAGGATAGTTCTTACCATACTGGTACCAGGGTGGAATCTTGGGTTTCACATCTGCAAAGGAAAAGCAAACCACCTTGAGTAACCTTCACAGGGGCACTATCTCTGAATTACTTTAGCTCTGAATGCAATATTTTGTACTACACCTTTTTAAGACCATTTGAAAACCCGCTACTTTGGGCTGTTTGGGATACAGTTAGTTCTCATACTTGAAGAGGAGGCTCAAGAAATGTCTCTGACTTAAGAACTAACACTTTTTGAGGGTCTGCTGCATGTCACATGCTGAGCTAGGTGGTTTCACCCATTCATTTAACAAGTAATTTTGTTTGCTTGTAGTCACAGAGATATTTCTTCCAGATTGTGTCCGCAAAATACAATATTCCACAATATAGCCACTTACCCTCATCTCCTATTAACTAACTTAGCACCTGCACCAGTGTCATCTTTTCTCATTCTGCTATGATACATTCTTTGCTAAAGTAGCACAATTTGGTTCATCGCGAAGGCTGTTGGTGCTGTGGTCTGAGGTGCTTCAATTTTAGATCTCTGTAACTCTTTACTTAAAAAATGGTTATAGACTATTAGAAAACCAACATATAATAAGGATCTTACTAATATTTTTACCTCTTGGAATTTTGCATATCCATTCGTGTTTGGATCCACAGTGGGAGGGCAGCAACACTTTATTTGCCTTATAAACAGCACAGTTTCTTGCATCTTCTTCAAAATAAGTATTGTCTAAAAATGAAGAGACAACCTGCAAGTTTTGCAAAAGATCAAAAAAAGCAACCCTGTAAATAAATCACAGTAGATTTCTGGAGGAAGCTTAAAAAATGTCTGGATATGAATCTAGTTAAAGATTGTTTCATATTTGTGAAAAACAAGCTAAGCAAACATTAGCATTTTTCCTTAAAAATGCTTTTTTTTTCTTAAAAAGAAGCATGCTACTGCTTTGTCTAGAAGGAACAAATCAGATGCTAGATTCCTTCTGAGCTTGCACTGTTTTCTCACCGGCAGGATTAAGTTAACCCTGGGATCCTGGGGAAACCTCTTAAAGGCTCATGGATCTGTCAGATTTGGGTCTAATCTTTTGCACACACATTAAGCTTTTAGTCCTAATCGCTGAATTCTAATTCATCACTAGTCTTAATCAGGAAACTACCAACACCTTACACAAATGATCACATAACAGGGGTATTAAATAAAGATTCAACCTTCTCGGACTTAATGACTACTCAACAGAAGAGTGGCTGGGTCACAGGTACAATTGGGGTAAAATTTGGAAAGAAGAGAATATTTTGAAGCCATTTATACTCCTCCTCAAGCATGTACACAGTCATGCAACAATTTATCTAACTTAAACATATATAAACTCAGATTCAGGAAAATGGCACCAGTTTAATATTTTGCCAGTGGGCAGTGGTGAGGGTCCCCACCCGCTGCTTCAGGGCCTTATCTCATTTATTCTGAACCAAATTGCCTTTTCCTTTCCTATTACTAATAAGTTTGTCTTACTAAAACAAGATGCAATGTTCTCAACCTCTGTGTACCACCTTTCATTTTTCCAGTACCACGTTGACATTAACCAAGCAATTGTGCCATGTGGTGGCTGCCATTTATGGAGCAGGTAGACCCTGTTCTATGTCCCTTCCACTTTCCAAGTCTTGTTTTTTTCATCAGCAAAATTGGTGGATGGGGCTGAGCAGTCTCTAAGATCTCTTTCCAATGTACTCTTGAAAAAAGGGGTACCGGTAAAAACATTACATAAATTCTTTAACTAGCACACCCTTTTTATTTTTATTCCAACCATTTGCATCTGTTTCCCACAAATCCCTTCCTTGCCACACATTTGAACACCGTTTATGCAGCAGTCCTAGAGATGCTTTTTCTTTATTGATCTTTACTATTTCAAAGTTTGGGGGATGATATTTTGTCAAGTATGGAACATTATAACATTGTGACTTTGGAGGCAGCCAACCTGTGTACAAATCCTAGCTTTCCAATGTATTATTTTAGGCAAACTGTTTAAGAATTCTAATACCAACTGGATTGATCCTTGGCAAGGAAGAAATGAGATCATTCAGAAGTGCACTCAACTCAGTTCTTGGACTATAATTAGGGTTCAATAAACAGGAGCTATTTACCAGGTGAAATGGAATGACTTGACTTTGCACATGCCCTCTCCTGGATCCCATTTAAGTCTGGGACATGGCTTGCATTTTTTCCCTATCACCTTGAGGAAAATGTGAGAACTCCTTATTACATGAAAAATAATGTAATATTGAGTTCCTTTTTTCCTTCACAGAGTCTTTTACGAGTATGAGTCAGAGTGAAAAGCAAGCCTTTTTTCCTTCTTAGTAACTTGCTCTGGTTGAGGTGCTATATTTCTAAGGCTGGCATTTGTCTTTTTAGAATGAGATGAACTGGAATGGTTTTCTCATTGTGGCCTCGACAGGGTCCCACAGTCACACAATCAGGGCCTATGCAGGAGAGAGAGGTGGGGTAAAGGGAGCCTGATATTATTTTAAAGGATAGTTGCTTCTTGCTGGAAAAGGGAGATAGTTTGGAGGCCTTTTCAGAGGTTTTGAATCCTTTTCAGGATCAGATTCTACGGCCGATCTCAGAAATAGCTGCCCAGCAAAGGTTTCCCAGGACTCTGCTAACATCTGGCACCAAAATCTGGGGCAGTTTTTTATTTGTTTCTGAGTCATGGGAAATAGGGCTATTATTTCCAGGTTTTCTCAGTTGTTTTACCAAGTGGTTCAAGGGCCACCAGTTTTGAAATCATTTCCTTTTCTCCAGTCTGGAAAGACTCACAGGAGTTCCATCAGACCACACCCAAGAACCAGCATTCAGTGGGTTTCTTTTATTAAATCCAATCCAGAACTGCCTTTCTTCTGTCCTATGAAGAGAAGAAATGAAAACTTAGCCCTTCTGATCAAATTCCCAACATTCTGTAAAAGTTTCAAGAAATATTTTCAAGTATGTATGTGTCCAGGATTTTATTAAATCCAATCCAGAACTGCCTTTCTTCTGTCCTATGAAGAGAAGAAATGAAAACTTAGCCCTTCTGATCAAATTCCCAACATTCTGTAAAAGTTTCAAGAAATATTTTCAAGTATGTATGTGTCCAGGAGACAGCTGATGCTACTGGCAGGATTGATCAAGTCAACACACATTTATTGAATATTTCCTGTTTGCAAAACCTGAGCAGTGAAATGAACTGAGAGATTTAGCCTCACTTCTTATTTCTCTTGGTTTGTATGGGACACTCATTGGTGACGTGCATTTGGGGAACAGTCAGCCCCTCCTGAGAAAATGGCTCTCTCCTGTTTGTTAGGAATGGACTTTCAATCAGGAAAAGGGCACATGGTAAGATGTTCAGGAACATTTCTTCCCTAAAGGACTTTTTACCACTTTACTATTTATACTACATTCCTGTGCTTTCATTTTGCTCATTCATCAAATGTTCGTGTGTTCTTTGGAAGTTAATCACTACCACCTCCATTTAATAAAAGGTACACAGCAGATCTTGATGTTTTCTTTTTCTGATCTGACGTAAGTAACTCCACAACAAATGAGTCTGAGGCCCAGCAGATTAACTTTTGCAGTCGCCACTTGGTTAGACGTGGTGGGAAGCCCTGCAGAGAACCATCTTCCCTCCTATTAGGTGGAGGGCAAATACGTCAAACCACAGAGTATATAAATCAGGCAATAAAGCCTAATTGTACGACAAGCCATCTCACGAGGAGAATTTTCTGGGGATAATTTTAAAGAATTAAAGATTTAAGAATCAGAAGTCATGACAGATGCTTTGTTTCCTTAGCACAGAGAAGCAGGCCTGTTCTGAAGCAACCCCTTCTCAGATGTTTGAGCTACTAGGCCCGAATGATACAAATGAAAGTAAAATATGACTCAGAAAATCTTAGAGACCCCTGGGGCCTGTTTGGTCACTGCTGTCATTACCACTGACATTCAAGGCTGTGGGAAGGGGAGAATTCTGAGTTCAGGTTCAGCCAGGCATATTCATCTCGATGGCCTAGCCTGGAAACCTGCATCACTTTCCCTGCCTTGAGAGCTTTCTATTCCTTTCCTTGCTGAGTTCAGAGTCCTATATTTTTTCTGCTGTATATTGGGCTCTAGAGGATGGGTTGGTGTTTATTCTCTCTCCATCAATTTCCTAAAATTGTATAACTTTCATAATATGATATAATACTATGAATATAAAAAATAATTAAAGGGAAATAGTAAAGAAGTGCCATAAGCAGGAGAAGAGAACTGAGATTTGGTTTATTTGCTATCATTAAGCATCAGATTTGGCAGAACTTCCTGACAGTCTGGGTAAAATGTAAAACATTATATAGCTTTTGTGATTAGGTGCTAAAGATCAGTAATTTGATAGGTGGTTGGCACTAAATCCCATGAGGACTTCCAAGTGTGAGACTATATATAAGTAGAAGTGATCTAATGATATTCGATCTTACAGCAAACTTGGAAGCAGTTTGCACATGGTTGTTTCATACAGCAAACCTCACTACATGCAAGCACGGCTAAAGTCAGGAAGCAATGTTATAACTTGAAAAATGGAGATTTTCACAGAACCCATGGATCTGTGGCCCCACAGCAGACTGACAGTCCAATGAACTGGGAAGCAGCTGGACCTTCCCTTTAGCCTCAGAGACTCTAACTCGGAAGCTCTGGTGTGAGACCAGAGGGCTCTGGGTTGCAGGTGTGCCAAGTGCATGTGACCACCAGCCAGGTTGGGGAATTACTGTCTCCTGTCAGTACCTCCTGCAGAGACCGGCAGTTCTGTGGGATGATAAGTGCCCTCAAAAGAGAGCTGGATGGTCAAAGAAAGTGCTTCCTTCCTTTGCTATATATAGCTATATATAAGCCTCTATAATGCTAATGTATATGGCAAATTCAAGATTGTGCCTTGTTTTGTAAACATATTTGACCATGAGATCTCCCTTTCTCCCCACAGAGTACTCCATGAGTCTCGCAGTGAGAGAGGTTGTCAAAGTCTCCCACATGCAAGGTCATTTTTACAGATGCTGGAGATGAGTAATTTGGTAGATGCCACATACTAGCCTTCTTATGGGAGTGTTTTAAAGGAAACTTATGGGGAGGACCAGGACTTTCCTCAGAGAAGTTCTGGGTTTTCTCTGAGATTCAGGCAAGTGGTTCACTGAGGCTCCAGAATTGCAGACTTGGGGCCAGAGCACCTGAGTATTAGAGTTCCAGGAGTCTTGGTAAATAAATACATGAAGCCAAGGAGGCATGCCCTTGCAGACAGCATCCTCAGGAACAGGATTTTTTCTGAATCTGTTGGATTCTCCAGACAGCTATGCATATAGCAGTGTCCCTTCCATCAAGGATATGCCCCAAATGTATGCCAGCTGACAAGATGATTCTAGACCAAGGGCTGGGAAGACTCACTAAAAGAGACCTGTTTGACTGTCTTGAAAATAGAGTAGACTTAGTCTGTGTTGCTCTGGCTTAGCTTTGAAACCAGCCTCCGGCAACAGAATGGACTTTTCCCCAAGGAGTACTCTGAAACCAAAGGACTTGTAGAGACAGTAGATGCCCGTGAGGATGTGGTAGAAGGAATTCCTATATTGGGTGGGAGGTAGCACAAGACCTGTCATGTTTCCTCAAATTTAAATTTAGTTCATTTTCTAACTCCATGGACTTCAAGATTCTGTAAACTTGCAAGAGAGTTGCAGACAAGTGAATGCCTGCTTCCTCAAATGTAAAATTAGGAAGTTGGATTGGAATTCTTTTTTTATCAGTGGACTTCCTTTTTTAAGACAAAATTTTACATGGACCCCTTTATATACAAAATAACCAGAAGTAGAGCTGGTTGGAGCTGCTCTGGTGGGTCAGCAAGTCAGGAACTAGCAGCTGTTGGCTGCCTCCTGGTCGTGGGGTTCCAGAACCCTTGGGATCCTCAGAAAGCACCTTGAAAACCACTGGATTGGACGATTTCTGAGTCTGGCAGAAGAGCTTTCAAATTCTGATTTGAGGCATACAGAAACAATTCCAAACATCAGAACAATCCATGTTATTCTTTGTTTTATGGAATAAGAATCTGCTGTAGTATAAATATAAAGTTGTAAGTATATATAGTTTTCTTCCACAAGTAGTGGCTAGTTGGTTTTAGGCTTAAAACAAGTACTTGAGATTTTTAAAAACTATTTGGAATACTCACCCCTAAGAAGCCATTACTGGGAGATGGAATATCTGACTGCAATTTTCCAAAATTAACAAAGTATTTACCGATTAAATTTTGAACGTAAAAGCTCGTTCACAAAATTCTCTTCCTCAATATGGGCAAAGCTTGCAAGATGAGCTCCAAATTCTTCACAAAATGCTTCAGCTTCTCTCCATGTTCTTTTCATTAGGACTTTTTCATTATGAAATACCTGTAGGGTAAAAGGAAAACAAACTTGGCACTGTCATGGGTGAGGTGAGGCTGTGTAATTCTGGACAAGAAAATAACAGTAATATAATTGTCACTATTATTCTATATTAAAAGCTTGACCCAGTAGAGACAAATAACATTCACTGAACTAGAATGAATCTATTCATCACAAAACTACTACCCCACTGTATTCTCACAACAAATTCATGAGGAGGGTATGATAAGTTCAGTATTATATATGAGCGCCTTGATGACTCTGTTTTTTTCCTTCTAAATTTCCAGAGACTGGCATATACTTGCCCCTGAATAAATGTTTGTCAAGAGATGAGGAGAGTTGGGGCAAGGACGGGGCGGGGGGGTTACAATGTCAGGTTACACAGCTACCAGCTGGCAGAGCCAAGGTTAGACCCAGTCCTCTTTGCTTCCAGGGTCCTTCAGTTTCCACCCAACCGGACTGGTTCCGACAGATTAGAATTGTGTGAATGATCATGAATCTGGCTGACCCAGGACAAGACGTGAGACATGAGACCTGGCACCTGGGGCAGGCCTATTTCTAAGGTCTTTGGGTCTCAGCAGCACCTAAATTGTCTTCTGTCTCTTGGCCATCCTCACAGTAGCAGGAAGAAGTTAGTCAAATGGAGTATCTGCTTTTGACTTTATTTACGATCAAGGGTGAGGGACCAAAGACCCAGAGCTCCAGATCCTGGCCTCTGCACCCTCCTCATTTTTAAGTGCCTGACACTATACCTGAGTCTCTGACGCCGGGCAGGAATCCTAAGGCCAGACTTCACCAGCCTCTGATTTGCTGAGACCAGAGTGAATAGCTTCCCCAGGCCTCTGGCCCACAGAACACAGCTTTTCCATCTTTTAAGTTATATGTCAAAACTCGCCTCCACTGGGAACATTTTCTTGAATCATCTTGATTCATGAATCCTACCACCATGCCCATCAAACACACCATACATTTGTTGACATGTTGGGGTGGTAAATAGTAGACAAAGTACTGGACCAGGAGTGCCAAAACCATGTATTTATTCCAACTCTGTCAGTAAAGAATTGTGATCTTGGGCAAATCACTTCATCGAGCTGCCTCAGTTTACTCATTTCTTAGGTTTAACTGATTGCTCTGTGATGTCACTTCTGGGCCTATTGTTCCATGAATTGAATGCAGGATCATACGTGTGTACATTTAAGTTGAACCTACTCCCAGGTGTTTCATGCTGTTTATGGGACATGCTTTGTCTCTGGAGATAGAGGCTGTCTCCATTCTACTGTGCATGTGCCTATGTGCCACAAAAGAACTTTGCCCCAGGATTTTGGAAATCTCTATTTGTAAAATAAACCAAAGATAAAACCATTAAACAAAAACATCAAATTTCAAAAAAACATATTTGTGAAAAGAAGATTTAAATCTAAGATCTAAAGCTGATTTGTAAAGAGACATTCCATCACACATATACACATATGTACATACATATATATCAACTGTGTGTATTAATTTGATATTCAAGTGTCTGGCAAACTGCAAAAGCTATTCTTAGTAGCAGAATGTATTATTCTGTAATAAGGACTTTATTCATTTGCTTACAAATGACATAGGGACTTGTACCATTTCAATACCCAGTAAGTGTCTGAGCTGTTCATTGGGTTTATGCAATAGAACAATATTGACTGGGGCCTCGAAATCAAGTCTCATAGGAAGATCTTCAGTTGTCACCAGGGATATGTCAATCTTTTGACTTAAAAATTATTTTGGAATATAACTGAAAGGAAAGAGATAGTCAACAAATATTAAGTACCTGCTGTGTGACAGGCACTATTCTGGAATAAAACAATTTGGGATACATGTATAAAATTGAAATAATGTTGATCCCACTGAGAATGCCCCTGTAACCTTGGTGTCACCTTGAAGCAGCTCGCCAGGCCGGGCTCTGACTCCCAGTCCAAATAGCAGGGGTGAAACGGCCATCTCTCCTCCTGCTCAGTTTTACTCCGATTTCCCACTGGTTGCTTGCACAGGGACATTGCCTTAAAGTGTTTACAGTCCTTCACTTCCCAGCGACCAGGTGGGCTCCTTCCTCTCATGACAACACAGCCACCACTGTAGCCTAGAAGCAGAAAATAACAGTTTTTAATACCAAATGACTAGAACTTTCTGTGCTCAGAAGACAGCTCTTTAAGAGGGTGACTGACATCTACCAGACAAGCACAATCAAGATGGAAAAGGGAGCTGTATTGGCATGATTATCTCATTTCTCTTCATCTCTGGAAAAAAGAAGATGGAAAAGTGAAAGAAGAGAGATTGTGAAGCCTGAAATTTGGACGTTTTGAGCTCATACTGCACATGATGGGAAACCAATTGTTCCAACTTGGGACCAAAATATCTCCCATATCTCATCAAATGCCAACATCTCTCTTCTTTGAGTTATTGAGCTTTTAAATTATGCACAGAAAAATTTAACTCATCATTTATTGAGCACCTACATTGTGCTTTGAAACTTCATTGTGAAAAATCAACAATGAAAAATTCATAGTGCTTATCTTCTGAGAAAGATTCAACAGGGAAAATAGATATATGCTATACTAATGTATTTGATTTTGAATTTTACATGTTTTTAAAAATTAGACTTGAATGGGTGCAGAGTATGGATATTTTGTTTCTTTATGGAGGATATGTGGAAATGGTTGGAGGGTTTGGAGTAAGAGTACTTTGTGGAGCTGTCAAGGTCCAAATAATTTTTTAAAAATAATAAAGGTGAAGACAGATGATAGACAACTAATCTATAAACTATAAATGATGGGAGAGTTGAAAGAGTGAGATAAATTCTAAATGGGTGAAACTTGGGGGCAGGAATAGGGGGACATTAGGAAAAAGGGAAAGGCCGTCTGGTTACGGACAAAACTCCTTTTTATTCTTTTGTGTATGTTTGAACATTTTGGAAAATGACCTGCATTTTTCCAGAGAAACAATTTCTAAATTGAGTTAAGATTCTCAAGTTGCCATCAACTTTATGCAATTCATAAGACAGCTTTAAAAAAAACCTTAAGATTTCAGTAGATAGTAGAAAACAATCCCATTCCAAAAATAGAATAAAATTTGAGGAAGAATGGCCTTCTTTTTTCTTGAATCCAGAGCGATCATTCAATTAACTGAAGTGATATTCAACAGCAAAAACAAAATTGTACATCAACATCTCTATACCAGGTAGCTGTGTATTAGCTGCTAGGGATGGAAGGAAAAAAATACATTGAAATAAAACAAACAAAGTCCAACTCTTAGTTTGGTGTGAGGCGCCAACACAGAGACAGTTAACTAAAATAAAGTTAATGTGTTAAGTACTATAGCAAAGGTGTGTTCAAATTTCTGTGGGGAAGCTTCAGAAGGGGGGTGGAGTTGGGCTCGGGACATCAGTCAAGGATTTGTAGGAAGTGACGTTCGAGCTGAGTTTTGAAGGATGGAAAAAGAGAAAAGAGTTTTCAATAGGTGCTTGTAAAAGGCAAGCAATTATAGATAGAGTCTCTGAAGACTTGTGATGATTCTGAACCTAAAGACACTTTTTAAAATGTAATCATTTGGTACTAGACATTTGTCTTGCTTAATTTCCCTTCAGAAGTAACAGCTTCAATTTTTTTAGCTACAGAGTACCTGGCATTACCCTTGTCAGCCATGTTTTGGTAGTTTTATGGTCACAGAAAGACTAAAGAGAGGGACAATGAACAGGAGTGAGAAGAAAGACAGAGGAAGATATACAAAGAGCCCCTCCCACAGGAATGGAAAAGAGTTTGTGAAAGGAAAAGAATAAGGGAGCTGAAGGAGTGCTGTGTCCTCGACAATCCTGGGCTCGCACCGTGTGTCGGGCACTGCGCATCATGGCTACCTGCTGGAAGCTTACCGTCCTATGTGTGTGCGTGCGTGCTGATGGGCCGAAGAGACCCACACAGTTGAAAATGAGCAGTGGTAAACAAGAAAACATGACTGTTATGACTCACATAGAAGAAAAGGAAGTCAAGAGAGAGTTGGTCCATGTAAAGGGCATCTAGTCAGCTCCAATGGACAGAATAGCTACTTAGTATTAGAGATGAATGACATGGGGCCAGGCAATGGGGAGAGGTGAGAGCATGCACTGCAACCTGCCATACGTAGAGTTTTGCAGTCCTTCTGAATGTAATTTTGGACTGCAGCTCACAATCTAGCTGGGTCAAGAACAATAGAAGGATGCTGCATGCTCTCTTTGATGAAATTCTAATGAAATTGAACTGTGGAAATCATTGTGGAAGCCCAGAACATAATATACCAAAGGACTTGCCCTAATTTAAAGAGGAGGAAAAACATGCACTGCCTCCTGATTCCTCCATCCTTTGTTTCCCAAGAGCCTTTGAGTTGGAGCCTGGCATCTGGAGTTCTAGTCCCAGCACAAATATTTAGTAACTTGAACAGTCTAATTATTCACAAAAAACTTGTCTAAAATATGGGTATAATAATTCCTTTTCTTCTAATGGGTCTTCATGAAGATCAAATGAGAGAATGTATTTAAAAGCAGCCTGAAATGTACAGAGGGCTAAAAACATTCCTAAGATGTTGCTCCTATTTTTATTTTGACTGTTTTCATTACAAAAGCTGGGATTTTGTGGCAGTTCTGCCTGCATGTTCAAAAAATTTTTTAAAAGCTGGAATCAGCAGGTTTAAAACATAATATACTTTTTTGTTAGTCTTGCATTTTGTCTTACTTTCCAACATCAGACAGTGATTAAAGAACTTTGGTTTTAGACACTGTAGATATTCAACTCATCTTCATTAGTGAAGAAGGAGATGTTTGTGAACCACTGCGAAGATGAAAAGTGCTGCCAGAGTGTTATTGGTATTCTAAAGTGGTTAACTTAATGGAACATTTGACCCAAATTTTAGTCTTAGCCCCAAAGAAGCAGTCAAGGGTGGGCTAAGGGAGATATAAACCACATTTATAATCCTAGATTGTGGGGATGCTTGCTAAGGGTAGGGTGTGGCAAAGTGCAGAGGTGGTTTTCCTCCCAGGGCAATTATTCTCAAATTTGATAACATTTCCCATAGGAGAAGAAAAACTATCATTCTATTCCTCGGCAGTGGAATCTCACATTTAAGCTGATTCTCCTTACCTGCCTCACCTTCCTTGACCCCCTCGCTACCCCACACCACCCGCTGCCTCCTCACTCTCTCCACCAAGCACGAATGTGGAAACTTTCAGCCAATTAAGTTCCAATTTGGTTTTCTAGTGTTTTCTGTTTGGCAAAGCTATCTAACTGTTTAGACTGAACTGAACTGGGAAAGCCTCCATCTTTCATCTCTCTTGCCAAATACCTAAAAACAAACGCTATTTGTGATCTCAAGCAGGAGAGAACCTAGCTGGGCCTTCAGAGTCCTGAGATTATTTTACTGGGTATTTTCCCATTCTGTGCAGCAAGTCCTTCATGTGCTGATTTCTCAGGCCCACCTACCTGCCTTCTCTGCCCTCTCTTTGTCCACTCATAAAAGGGAAGCCCTTGGGGGCAGCGAAGGTGAGCTTTCATGGAATGTGTATATCTGCCTGAAACTGCCTTAGACATTTCATATGGCTCCTTTCCCCACCTAACTTAAAAAACTCTGAGGTGGATGTTAGTATCTGCACTTTGTTAATGGGAAAAGTGAGGCACAGAGGTTTAGTGACTTGACGAAGGACACATAGTGTGTGAACTTCTTTGGATCTTCATTCCAACTATAAAACACATCATATAATAAACACATTATATAATATTTATGAGTTATTTGGAAATTTGAGCATTAACTGAATGGAGTGAATGGATATGTTAAATTTATGTTAGTAGTTACAGAATTACAGTTACTTTTGGTTGTGATAATTGTGTTATATTCATGTTCTTAAAAAGTTATCTTTCAGAGATTATACTAAAGTATTTATTGATGAAACAATATCATGTCTGAGATTTACTATGAAAAAATATGGGAAGTAGGGGGAGCCGGCAGGGATAGAGACAAAACAAGATTGGCCATGAATTAATAATTGATGACACTGGGTGATGGATATATAGTGGTTCATTATACTGTTTTGTGAACATTATACAAAGTTGAATAAAAAGGGTAGAACTATGATTCCACCACAGATTGAATATTTTCATGATATGTCATAAGGAGAGAGGCCTGGCCGAATTTATAGAAAGCTGCAGGCCTCCTGTTCACTGGTCAATTTATACAGTCAGTCTGAGCTGGATTAAGATTCCGACATGGGGACTAAGCTAATGGATTCCAACTGTGACAGGCAGGGGAAAAAAATGTGATTTAGGATGGTGTTTCTGCAAACTGCAATTTAAAAGAAAAAAAGGAAACATGGGGGCGTTTATATTGCTATTTTCTTCAAAAAAAGATTTACATTTTCATCTTGAGACAATTTACTCAATGTCAATCAGCATGAGCGGCCAACAGAGCATGGTGATATTATTTTTGCTTCAGGGAAAAGAGGAAAAGAATAGTGCCACTCAAACAAATTACAGCAGAAACTTATGAATGACAAGAAGCTCTGCTTCAGTTTCAGGTTTTAGACATCCAAATATGCCCCAAGGAAAGTAACATTAAAAACCAAGAATTTTGTCTACTCAAAATGTATTAATTTATTTTGACAGGTATAGACATTCCTAACAAAATTCCGAAGTATATTAGAAATGATTTCTGAGCTTTTTTTTTCAGTAATAGTATGACATGAAACTTTACTATTTTCTGCATCTTAAAATTTTCATAAATTTATGGAACGAGAAAGTAGTTTATAAGGTGAATTGTGATGTTTGTTGTTTAGAGCTATACAAAGTCACCAGTTTCTATATAAGTCTTCTAAAGCAATGCTTACACACAAAAAAATGTAATTTGTCTTACTTCACCTGCATGCTTCTTTGAAAAACATAGTTAAAAAAATAAAGTATACATTTTAGAGCATTTCAGGTTCACAGCAAAGTTGTGCAGAAAGTACAGACTTACACCTCCTGCCCCACATACTCAAAACCTCCCCCACTATTGACATCCATACCATGATGGTACATTTGTTAAAATCTACATCGACACATCACAATCACCCAAAGTCCCCAGTTTACATTAGGGTTCATTCTTTGGGTTTGGAAAAATGTATAGTAACATATACCCACCACTGTGTAGTATCTTACAGAATAATTTCACTACCTAAAAAATTCTCTGTGTGCTCTGTGTGTTCATTCCTCACTTCCCCCAACCCTCGGGCAACCACTAATCTTTTTACTGTCCCCATAGTTTTTGCCTTTTCAAGAATGTCATATGGTTGGAATCATGCTGTACGTACTCTTTTCAGGTTAGTTTCTTTCATTTAAATTTTCTCCATGTCTTTCAATGGCTTGATAGCTCATTGCTTTATAGTGTTGAATAATATTCCATTGTTTAGATATATCATAGTTTATCCATTCACTTACTGAAGGACATCTTGATTGTTTACAAGTTTTGGCAAGAATGAATACAGTTTCTATAGAAACCCATGTGTGAGTTTTTGTGCAGACATTTCTATAAGCTATCATCACTTATTAGTTCCAGGTATTTTAAAAATTGATTCTTTGATTTTCTACATAGACAATCATGTCGTCTGTGAACAAATTTCTTTCTTCCCAATCTGTATAACTTTTCTTTTCTTGTACTATTGCCTTAGCTAGGACTTCTAGTGCAATGTTTAAGGGAAGTGTTGATAGGGGACACCCTTGCCTTTTTTCTGATCTTAGTGGGAAAGCTTCTAATTTCTCACCACTAAGTATGATATCTGTGGGTTTTCTTTAGATGTTCTGTATCAAGTTGAGGAAGTTCCCCTCTATTCCTAGTTTGCTAACAGTTGGATTTTGTCAAATGCTTTTTCTGCATCTATTGATATGATCATGTGATTTTTCCTAGCCTGTTGACGTAATGGGTTACACTAATCAGTTTTAAAATATTGAACCAGCCTTGCATACCTAGGATAAATGCCATTTGGTTGTGCTATATAATTGTTTTTATATATTGTTGGATTCAATTTGTTAATATTTTGTTGAAGATTTTTGCATCTATGCTAATGACGGATATTGGTCTGTAGTTTCCTCCTTAAAATGTCTGTCTAACGGTGGTATTAAGATAGTGCTGGCCTCATAGAATGAGTTAGAAGTATTCCCTCTGCTCCTATCTTCTGTAAGAGATTGTAAGGGACTTGTATAATTTCTTCCTTAAATGTGTAATAGATTTCACCAATGAACCCACATGGGCCTGGTACTTTGTTTTGGAAGGTTATGATTTATTGACTCAATTTCTTTAAAATATCAGCTATTCAGATAGTCTTTTTCTTCTTGTGTGAGTTTTGGCCAATTTTGTCTTTAAAGGAATTGGTCCATTCCATCTAGGTTACCAAATTTGTGGATATAGAGTTTTTCATAATATTCCTCTACTATCCTTTTAATGTCCATGGGATCTGTAGTGATGTCCTCTCTTTCACTTATGAGGTCAGTTATTTGTGTCCTCTATTTTTTCTAGTGAGCCTGGTGAAAGGCTTACCAATTTAACTGATCCATTAAAAAAACAGCTTTAGTTTCATTGTTTTCTAAATTGATTTCCTGTTTTCAATTTCATTTACTTTTGCTCTAGTTTTTATTATTTCTTTTCTTTTGCGTTGCTAGTTTCCTAAAGTGGAAGCTTAGATTATTGATCTTAGATATTTCTCCTTTTCTAATATATGCATTTAGTGCTATAAGTTTTCCTGTAATCGTTGCTTTCTCTGCATTTCACAAGTTTTGGTAGATCATATTTTCATTTTTATTTAGTTTAAAATAATTTTAAGTTTCTCTTGAGATTTCTTCTTTGACACAGGAGCTATTTAGAAAGTATTGTTTATTCTCCAATGATTTTCCAGCTATCTTCCTGTTTAATTTGTTTGATTTCTTGTTTAATTCCATTGTGATCAGAGAACAGACATTGTATGATTTCTATTCTTTTAAATTTCTTTTATGGCCCAGAATGTGGTCTGTCTTAAGTGAATGTTCCACATGAGCTTGAGAAGAATGTGTAATCTCTTGTGGTCAGATTAAGCCATCTATAGATGTCAGTTATATCCAGTAGATTGATGGGGCTGTTGAGTTGTTTCCTTGCTGACTTTCTGCCTGTTGGGTCTGTCCATTTCTGAGAGAGGGGTGTTAAAATCTCCAGTTGTAGTAGTCAATCCATCTATTTCTCCTTGCAGGTCTATTGGTTTTTCCCTCATATATTTTTATACTCTGTTGTTAGTTGCATACACATTAACAACTATTATGTCTCCTTAGATTACTGACTCTTCATCATTATGTAATATCCCTTTTTATCCCTGAAAGATTTCCTTGTTCTGAAGTCAGCTCTGTCTTAAATTAAAAGAGCTACTCTGCTTTCTTTTGATTAATGTTAGCATGGTATATCTTTCTCCATCCCTTTACTTTTAAATTTTCTTGTAGACAACTGTAGATGGGTCTTGTTTTTTAATCTACTTTGACAGTCTCTGTCTTTTAATTGGTGTATATATTTGATATATGAAGATGATTATCATATTACAATGATATTTATCTTTCTTCAGTAAAGAGCCTGAGGTCTCTAACCTATTTGCTCCAGATACAAATTCAGAGGTAACCTACTGCCTACCAAATGTTGGGGTGGCCCTGACTGAGATCCACAAGCAAGAAAGGACCAAGGCATTGAAACAGGGACTCAGACTGAGGTGAAGGAGCGTTGGGTCTGGGTAGGTGACATAAGATTAATACAGGGGCCTAAGGATTACTCCACAGTGGCTGTTCTAGCGTAGATTGTGTCTGAAGCCATTGGCTTCTCTGGAACTGACCAATCTGGCACTATTTCATGCTTTGGGATCCAGAGCTAAGCACACAAGCGTGAACTAATAGAGCTGAAACTCTGAAATCCTAGCTATGGTACCACAAGAGTCCATAGAGGAGATGGACTAACAAGAATATTACCTAAGTAATGGGCCAAACACTCCACAGCAAAGTCACATGGTAATGACTATGGACTGATTAGATGTACCCACATGTGCCATTCATTACCTTTGAAGTTTAATGGACTGTTGTGAATTGAGTAAGCTCCTGAAATTCTTGGACAATGAATGGGGATAGGGGAAAGACTTGAAGGAGAAACTGGGCTTCCTGCTAATATAGTCATATGAGGTCTTCAGCAATGAATTTACCTTGAACATGTCAAATGACTCATTTGTATTATACTTTTAGAAATGACCAGCCATATGTCACCCCTTGAGAACCTGTGGTAATTGTTTTAGTTGATTTAGACATTAAGGAAACATTAAGGAAGAATCAAAGGAGGTAGACCGTGGGGTGGAAAGAATTTTGGACAAAGGAAATAGGAGGGAGAAGTGGATGTATGGCCCCTCTACTCACGGGGCTGGTGTGCATTCCAGTGTGTGTAATGCGCTGGCTCAGACTTCCACCCTGCTGTCTTCCAGGTGTACTCTCCTGTATTATTTTGATCTTGAAGAGCTATCCAAAAATAACTGTCCTTCGTCTTTACCACACTACTGATCAAACTGGTGATAAAAGCCTGTTCAAACCTTAGAAAGGGAAAAAGGAAATGGTTATATTAAGTTTTGGGGCAATAAAAAAAATGTCATTAAAACATAATGAGGTGCACAGACTGGCACTAGAGTAAACATTTCTCATGAATTCTCTAGAACATAAAGCAGAAAAACCCCTGAAGACAATGAGCATTACTTATACATGCCAAATGTCATTGCAATTCCCAGAAATATGTGAGTGAGAAGAATTTGACTTTCAAAAATGAGGCTTAATTCTTTCAAGGAACAGAGTCCAACTCCAGTTTTGGAGTATAAGTGGCAAAGTCCACAAAGCTATAAATACATTTCTTGATTCAGCATGTGCCCTATTTCATAATTTCGCCATGCCACACACACCATGCCATGATGCGTGTGTGGTGGGGATTTGACAGAGGGCAGGAGAAAGGATATCATGTTTTCCTGAATGAGCATCTGCCAACGTAGAATTTACAGGATTCACATGCCCCCCCATCCAGTACACTTGCCTGGTGAGACTAGAACAGAGATTGGAGTAGCAGTTTTTGTCACCCAAACCAGTTTGTTCATGGGTACATGGAGTCCTTGGCTTATGTGCATATTCACTGAAGATAAATTTAAAACCTGAGGAACTAACCCAGGCAAGTGTACCCACTAATATTTTCCCCAAACAGCTGAATTAATTAGTGCTCATAGATTGGTGACAATATTCTGTTCCCATTCATGAATACATCAAAAGCAGAATCTAGAAAACTTGTATATATGCTTCTACATGAATACCTAATAGAAAAATGTGACCATAAAAATTTAGCTAGCATTGAAATTTTAAGCTAAGTTTGAGACTGTTGTAAAAAATTTATTTTCAATGCATATAAAGTTTTGAAGAAACCCATTTCAAACAGCAATGACTTTTGGTCTGACCTGCTGAGTCGGTGGGAAAGGAAAGGCCTGGTGAAATTATCCAGAAAACCTAAGAAGAGTGCAAATTAGACTTTTTCATCCAATTTTGGATTTTTTTTAATTACCATGCATCCTTGCTAAGGGAAGCAAAATCAAGGGGTCACTTAAGAATAGAGGAGTCTCAAGGAAAAGGAGGAAAAGAGAAAAGAGCACAAAGAAATAAGAATTTTTAACTGTCTTATGAACTTTACTAACAATATTTAGTGATCTTAGGCATCCATGACACTCATCTTTGCAAGCTGCATGGATTTCATCATACTTGAGTAAATATTTTCTGAAGATTTTTTCTTAATAATCTAAATAGCATCTATTTGAAATTAGAAAAGTTCCTTTTTAACCAGATTACAGTGGCAGAACCTTATGTTAATGTGCCTCAAAAAGAACATGTATAGAACATTAAATATTGCCTAGGTACTGTTGTAATTTTCCTTACATTTCCATTGGCTCATGCTCTCATAACATAGGATTTGCTTTTCATTCTTCCCTCTGAGGCACAGTAGCTTTTTATCATGCCCACCTGGTGCTATGCTAGGAGGCCAGCAAGGCACTTCATGAAGGAGGCTGTGGCCAGGACCACTGGTCACTGTGCTGGTCCTAAATCCAGAGGACTTTGCTTGTTCTTCCATTACCTTGTACTATGGGTGTTTCTCGATAATGGAGAGAAATACTGTTTGTGAACTTGACCTCTGGTGTCATTATTCATGAAAACATTTTGCTTTTGTCCTTGTTGGTTTTAGATTTTAGTCCACTTGGATTTGTTATTTTATCACTGTTTATCATTGCTTAAAACAATAGAAACCTGCTTTTTGAATTGGGAAGTATCTTTTAAGTGGCTGCATATAATACTCATACATTAAATCCTAAAGCCTTCAAATCAAAACAGGACTCTAGCTTTTGTGGTCCAGTTTAGAAGATTGCATTGTTAATAAGGAGACTCAGCAAATATGTCTTTCTTCAAAACCACACATTCAAAGAAATTAATTCTGGCTAACAATATTCAATATCTTGAATGTCTATTTCCAGCTGATAAAAAAACAAGAGAACATTTTATATTCCTTACCATTCACTATTTGGTTTCAAACAGTAAAAGGAATGTGGAAACTGGCTTATGGTACGGAGCAGATGACCTTTTAAAATCTTTTCTCCCCTGTGTCTGAATTTTTCATTTAAAGATATTACAGAGTTTTATAATATTTGGCCTTCTTGTCTAGTTTCACTGAGTTGCTTAATTCAAATGAGTTATGACTTAAGAACAAAAAATAACCATATGTACATATTTTTATATAATTACTTGAACCAGGGTAACGTGTTATCTCTAAAGAATTTAGTACAGTAAAAATTGTAACCAGAAGTTATTTCTCATTGTCTGAGTCTACTTCTGTTTAAAACAAGAAAAATACACCTTGAACTTCTATCACTTCCACAAGAAATTTTTGTTCATGGTACTAAACATTAAATTTTAATTAAAAATACAGTTTGAAGATAGCAATAATATTTTTGGCATACACTGATAAGTTTTTTCATTTCAAAATAAATATTTTGCCTTTCAAAAAGTGCACATATCAAAAGGAGGTATTTTATTCTTAAGTCTCTAATTGAACATCGTCTTCAGCATTATAGCCAGTGACATACGTAGCTGAAAAAAAAAGATGTTTCTTTTTGTGACTAACACAGTTTAGCAGATAGCAGGACTTCATGATCATGTTTGTATTACCTAAAATAAGAGACTGAGAAAAAGCATAGAAAGTAGCTTCACTAGAAAGCTATTTCAATTGGAAAAAAATAGTGGTAGTCTTCTTATATAGTGGTCCAGTTAGGAGGAATTCAGCTTTGAACTGAGAACTAGCAATTGGATTTCTCCCAACAACACAATTTTTAGCATTTTTTATGCCATTTTCAAGTAGCTGTTGCTGAACTAATAAGAAAATGATAAAGTTCTTTCTCTTTCCTTTAAATAAAGAATGGAAATGGAATATCAGTAGTTTTTAAGTGGGAGACATGCATCATGGTCATTACTGAAAGAAGTTTCTGTTGGCATTTTTCAAGAACTAGAAATGTTAAGCTTTTGGATATTGTTCCTTACAAAGACTAGAAGAGAAATAAAAACTTAAAAAATATACTTGACATATACACAAGGAATAAGTAAATTCCAAACTGTTAATGGCGGCTACCTTTGGGGAGGGGAATGGGATTGGTTGGGAGTGGGGTGGGCTGGAGGTGAGGGGGCACTTTCACTTTTTAGTCTATATTCTTCTGGCTTGCTTGAATTTGTACCAATGAGAATGTGTTTATTATACAGTTTTTAAAAGGGTAACTAAAAAGCATTTTTAAAAAGAAAGTTAACTGCATTCTATAAAAAAACAACCCTGTTAGAACTAATAAATGAGTTCAGCAATGTTGCAGGATACAAAGTCAACACAAAAATCAGTTGCATTTCTATATACTAAAATGAACAGTCTAACAAGGAAACTACAAAAACAATTCCATTTATAATAACATCAAAAAGAATAAAATACTCAGGAATAAATCTAACCAAGATGGTAAAAGACTTGCACACCGAAAATTATAAAACACTGTTGCAAGAAATTAAAGAAGACACAAATAGATGGAAAGACATCCCATGTTCATTGATCGGAAGACTGTAAAAATATCTATTCTTCCCTAAGTGATCTGAAGATTGAATGTAATCCCTATCAAAATCCTGATGAAAATTTTTTTTGCAGAAATAGAAAAATCCACCTTATAGTTCATATAGAATTTCAGGGGATCCTGAATAACAAAAACAAACATGAAAAAGAACAAAATTGGAGGTCTCACATGTCTTGATTTGAAAATGTACTATAAAGTGCAGTAATCAAATGTACAGTAATGACAGACATACAGATGAATGGAATAGAATAGAGAACCCAGAAATAAACTCTTGAAAATATGATTTTGGTCAAATCTTTTGGCCAAATGATTTTCCAGAAGGGTGCCAAGGCCATTCAGTAGGAAAAGGGCAATCTTTTCATCAAGGATATTAGAAAAACTGGGTATCTACCTACAAAAAAATGCATTTGGATTTTCGCCTTATACCATTTACAAAATTAATCCCAAATGGGTTAAAGACCTAACCATAAGAGCTAAAACTATAAAATCCTTAAAAGAAAACATAAATGAAAAAATTTCATGATGCTGAATGTGGCAGTGATTTCTTGGACATGACACCAAAAGCACAGGCAACAAAATAAGAATGGATAAATTAGACTTAATAAAAAATTTAAATTTTTGCACATCAAAGGACATTATCAACAGAGAGAAAAGCAAACCACAGAATAGAAGAAACTGTTATCAAATTATGTACCTGATAAAGGATTAATATCCAAAATATATAAAGAATTCTTACAATTCAACATCAGAGAACAAGCACTCCAAGTAAAAAGTGGACTTAAATAGACATTTTTCCATAGAAGATACATATAGATGCCAATAAGCACATGAAAAGATGCTCAATATCACTAATCATTAGGGAATGCAAATCAAAATCACAACAAGGTACCACTGCACACCCATTAGGATGGCTTTTATGTAAAAATAGAAAACAACAAATGTTGGCCAGGGTGGGAGGCCAGCACTGCTGGTGGGAATGTAAAATGGTACAGTTGCCACAGAAAACAATAAAACAGAAAAGTTTTAAGTTTTGCTCCTCAAAAAATTAAAAATAGAATAATCATATGATCCAGAAATTCCACTTCTGGGTATATTACCCAAAAGAACTGAAAGCTGGGGCTTGAAAGACATTTGTACATTCATGTTCATAGCATTATTATTATTATTATTATTTTATTTTATTAAGATATCATTGATATACAATCTTATGCTCAGGTTTCACATGAGGAGCATTGTAGTTACTACATTCAACCATTTTATCAAGTCTCCCCCACACAACCCATTGCAGTCACTGTCCCTCAGCATAGAAAGATGCTATAGAGTCATTACTTGTCTTCTCTGTGCTATACTGCCTTCCCGGTCCCCCCCCCATATTATGTGTACTAATCATAATCAAAATGCCCCTTAATCCC